TTATCTTCACTGAACAGTCTGGTGGTGTTTTCAAAGGGAGTGATATCGTGACAGCCATTTTAAAAAGGGGCAAAAGAGGGGGCTGTATTTGCACTGTCAATATTTACACTGACATATAATATTTACAGATTAATTTTGAATGATGGGAATGAATGATGTAGAGAAGCGGTGATCAGTGTCCATGTTATAGTTATCTCTTCAACTGTAGAACCAACTCTAGACAACTTTATCTCTGGAATTCAAGCCAACAAGTGCCCTGTAATAAATGTAGTGATAGCGGCCAGTCAGAAGAGCAGGGCGGCCTTATCTGAACCAGCCTCATTTGCAATGAAAATTACTCCTATGCAAATCTGGGACAGTGGGTCTTTACAGTCTTAAATTATAAAAACATTGCCACTTTTATTACTTCTTCGAGAAGATCCATTGTTGATAAAGGTCTATCTTATCTTATCTTATATGATTATACTGTAGTTTGTAGGTGTTTCTTTTACTCCTCAGGCCTTAAACCCAATAATTTGTACTTTCTGTTTACCTTTCTAAATGGATATTTGATTTGCATTCACCATATAAACAAGTTTGTAATGGTAAGCCATGTTTCTATGGGAATTCATATGTTGTGGTTAGCCATGCTTCTAAGTCCAGATAACCATTCCACAGCCACTCTGCCTGTGAGAAAGGCAAAGTTTAAAATGTCTCAACTAAAAGTACAGTTTGCACATTATTCATAAGAAATGCATGTTTCATTTTACTTGTATACTTTTATACTTAAAATAATTCAATATTTTTGCTTAAACCGGTACTTTAGCCATATGTTCATGCATGCCTTACATGTCATGTATATGTTTTACTCTTGTTAGTCATATTTTACTCATAACGAATATTTAGAATTATATTTAGAAAAAGTATGAATCAATATTCAGGCTATATTATCGTCCCTCTTCTTTATGGCTCGTTTGTCACATTTGTGGAGACGACTCTCATCCTCCAAACTGCAGTTTTCTGCTTTAAATGGATCTCAAGTGTCTTTTCTGAACCATCGCCCGCGGCTCATTTCAATGTTTATAGTGTCAACAAGAGCGCGATAATGAGCCTCGTGGCAGTGCGCGCGCACGCACCATACAGTATGGTCTATGGACCACTCAGTCTATGGACCATTCAGTCTGGACCAGAGGAAAGCGGTGTGAGTTTGTCTCCATCTAGCGGTGAAATGCAAGCACAATCCAATAGCTATAATTTATAGCTAATACCTTTATTTATAGGCTATAAATATGGTATTTTGTATTACTTTATTTGGCATAAAAGAACATTAGGGGTGTTAAAATGTTTCCGATTTAGTAAATAATCTTCGTATCTGTGAACATATATATGGGCTTGTTCACACTAAAGGGCACAAAAGTGTGACAAAAGGCCAAAAATTAGATTTTAATAATCAGAAGATATTTTATGTTTTTCATTTTTCCAAACACCTCTGTTCATTAGAAGTTGCTAGAACATAACTGTTTCATACATTAGACAGGTTTCCTATAGCGGCCCTGTTTATTTTATCTAACGGACGTGATGATTTGACGGAATGAGCTTTGTGGAAGTTTGATAGGTATTTTCAGATGTCCACATTTGATTCAGAGATTCTACTTTTTTACACAAAGTAGATGCAAAGTAATACTTTCATATTGTCAACCATTTAAATGTGAAAACAGACCAGATTTTTATTTTCTCAAGTTTAATTTTTAGAGAAAAGAGGACCATCCTCATCACGTCCGTTATACATTTTTCAGGGGTCATTTAATTAATTAAATTTTTTATTTTTTTTTCACGATTCCTTTTTATATCAAGTGATTTACTGATGTTGTGTTAACCATGTAAATCTTGTGGGATTTCATCTTCTGCTTTTTCAGACTGAGGACATTTTATTTTCTATGTAACTGGCGTCACAGTAGAATGGTAATTTGGTCGTTTAAAATGTTGCTAAACATTTTTATGTCAATCTTTCCTTTAGATTTTTTCCACACTATCTCTTCAATGTGTCTGTGTTTGAAATCTTTCTTCCAATCTATGAAAGTAATTTTAGTTTTTAAGTTATAACCTTTTAAAGTCCAGATACTTCAATTGTCACTTTACTGTGAACACACTCATATGTCATCTCATCAGTAATTAGTAAATACTGCAATCATGTGCAATAATAATAATGCATTGGTTTTATATAGCGCTTTTTTTGGACACTCAAAGACGCTTTACATGTGTCATTATTCATTCACTCCATACACGGTGGTGATAAACAACTACTGTAGCCACAGCTGCCCTGGGGCACACTGACAGAAGCAAGGCAACCAGTATGTGCCATCGGCCCCTCCGACCACCACCAACCATTCACACACACACCAGACTCATTCTAGGCAATGGGGGTGAAGTGTCTTCCCTAAGGACACAACGGCAGTTTGGCACTTTACAGCCGCAGCCGCCCCACTGTGGCAACTGATGTTCCCAGAGGCCCAAGGACACAACGACAGCAGACATCAGTGGGAGTCGATGGTGAAGGTCGGGCTCAAAGGCTCAAAGGCCAATGCTCTACCAACTGAGCTACTGTCGCCCACGCAATATGCAATACATTTCAGAAAGTAATTTACACTGCAATTTCAGAATGCCCACTGAATGCCACTTTATCTACTTAATTTATTTTATCAGAGAGAGAGAGAGAGCGAGCAAAACTCAGCAAAGCTTTTTAGTCACTTTGAAAAGTGTTTTAATATGATGTATTGTTATTATTGTTATTATTAGTTTAAAAAATACACACAAAAAAGACCATTTTAACAAAAAACATTTTATTTTTTCACAGTGCTCAGAGGTTGTTATATTCATACCACCAAGGTACAGTCAAGTCTTGTACAGTACCCCTTATGAACGCACTTATTAAAGTATTCGAATATTGTTGACATCACGACCAGATAATGTCAGCTACATATAAAAATGATTGTTGCTGATTTGATTTTACTAAGCCAATTATCAAAATACGTGAAATCACAGCATTCGTATAGCCTTTATTTCAGTTGTAGGCTTGCACCAAGTGAATAAGAACATCCACTGTCAACACCTCTGGCACTCAATTCAACAAGAAATCCAAGTCTTCGGTTGTATAAATTAACACACTACAGATTAGAAATAACAATAATAATAAACATTAGGTCAACAGCAGACCAACCCCTGTTATTCTTTGGGTCAAATTCAACTCATACATGGTGTAATCTCATCAGTGACAATAACAGTAGAAATGTACAGAGATTTTATTTTCGAACTATAGATATATATGGTGTTATTTAACATTTACAACATAGAAAAAGTAGTATTTAAAGACATGTATAAGCAGTAGTAGTAATATTTGTAGTGGTGAAACCAGGTTATGGCTCAATGACCCTGTATAGGGAATCTCAGAGGTATAACATTACAAGGCAGCCTGCTGTCTGGACTTGGTCAGTTCAATCAAATACATTTAGGACGCGTCATAGTCAAACAAAGTTACAGTTTAAAAGACGCTGGTATAGAAATGGCAAAAGATTGACATAATATAGTAACAAAAATCTCGTCTTCACAGGGATGGAATGGATGTCGCAGTAGCTGTATCAAAACAGTGTCCGAGACTAGAGCAAAGCTTACATTAAGTTACATACATTAGATAGAAAATATGGCCAACAGTGGTCTCATATTATTGCACTGCAGTTTGGAGATAAAAATGCAACAACAAAAAAATAGAATAAAACCACAATACCATTATGTCACAGGTGATTTACATTATTACTTTGCTGTCTTATTATATAGATAGGTTTTGTTCTGAATTGGAAGACGTGGTGGTGCCTTGGTCGCTTATCTACAGTTAAACAAGTAGCTTTTTAAAGAACGCTTCTGACAAACATGGAAAGATATTATTTAGTAACAATTAGGAAAACCAACACTTGTTTAAAGTTGGATTACACAATACTCATGGTATATATATTTGCAATTGGTGTCTTTTGAAGTTAGAAATTGGCCCTTGTCCGTCTAACATACATTGCAAGTGTCAAAACGTCAGTAAATTGGCATATTCATTAAAACTCTATATCTGTACAGTGTTAGTGAAGGCTCTATGTGCTTGTCCAAAAATCGCCCCATGTAGAAAAAATTCCATGGTTTGACCCAAGGTGTTTTGTTAAGGCTTTTGTTCAACAATGTTTTGCGTTGTGAGGTTGTTAGAGTAAAAGTTGCACCCAAAATGTGTCAATATGTTTGCAGTTTGTTCTTCCAGAAACACACACACACACACATTTATATATATATAGTTTGGCATGTGAATTGCTGAGGTTGTATGTCCATGTATAGCATAAACACTGAAATGGCTCTTGTTTGGAAAAGGTGACTTGATTTTTGCATCTCAAATAATTGTATATATATAGATATATTAAACTGTCAATATTATTTTTACAGTAAGCTAAAAACGCACTTGTGTGAAAAAAAGACAACACGTATGACGACACGACTCCAGTATAAGTGCAGGCTTTACAAAGTGAGTGGCAATAATACGTGTTGAAAAAGCATAGTAGTGTAGTTAGACCACCGGATAATCTCTTTGTCTTTCAGCGTCAGCGTCCTTTCCAACACAGTCCAGCTGACGTGAACATACATTTGGCTTCTTTATTGTGATAGCAGCATTGTCCCACATACATTTATTCATCTTTACCGTTCCCTCTGCTCAGTACGACGCCACAAGTTCATAACGTCAATTTGGCTTTTTATTTACTAAGATTTGCCGACAGCCATCATTGCATTCTCATATAATATGACTCTTTGGCTGGCTCTTTGCCAGCAGGCGGAGACAATCGTTGTGGGCTAGAACTCCTGCTCGAGGCCCAAACATGGCAACCCGTGTCAAACCACTCATGGGAGACACCATTCAGGAGGAAGGGTATTGCGTCTCCACTCCTCCATATTCGGAATAAGGATTCAAATTCAGCCCCAAAAGCATCAAGGCATGGTTAGGGTATGTCACCTTCACCTCCGCCCTCTGGCTCCTCGTCCTGGGTGTCTGATGGTGTGTGCGCGTATCGTTGGCGGATCCAGCACGCTTTGTTCTTGTGCAGGTGACCCATCATGGTTTGGCTCAGCAGACTGGCCTCGGTGAAACGGTGCCACTCTTCAAACAGCGGCTCCACAATGAAAGAGATAAAGCCTGGACAAAACATAAAGAGAAAAGCTATTTTTATCAAACCAGGAGGCGCTGGAAATCTGAGGTTGAATAGTGTCCGTAGACAGTGTTGTAGGGTAAGGTCCATAGACTGTGAATATTGTCAAGTCACAATCATCACAACATAAGTTTCATGTTAGATGAGTTGATTTCATGTGTGTCCAGCAGGGGGAGCTTCAGCCCCTCTGTAGGCCACAGAGATTCTATGGTTCCAATAATTGCATTGAAAACACATTGTTGCAATATAGTTTGCATGAAGTTGTGAATGTGTGTAGTCTACGTGTGCATGTGTGTAAGAGTGTGTGTGTGTGTGATGCTTACCTATCTGAATGACTGGGATAGAGTCGACCTGTTGATCACACAGAGGACTAATTTCCAAGTCAAACTTCCTCTCCAAATCACCTGCAAATGGATAGAAGAGATGTATGTTAAAAATAAATGTATGTAATATCTTAATGCTTCCAACCAAACCCATGACCAGCTTTTGCCAATTCATTATTGCATAAGCATCTAATTTTGACATTAAACTAACTTGTGAAATACATATTGATAGTGGTTTCAAATTTACATGACGTTTTTGCATTACTGTGGTCATATTTATTTCAAGACAATGACCTCATGGAATGCTTGTTTAGAGGAATTTGAGCATCATCACACTTGGGAAAGTTAATCAATAATTCATAACTACTGCATTTCTCAGCCGCAAGCACATTTTACACCAGAGAAGGACACACAAAGTCATGGCCATTTGTTTCCATTATGCTGATGACATGTAGCACTCACCCTGCCTGTAAAACTCCTCACACACCCTCTCGCTCCACTGATGGCTCAGCTCCCAAACACGGCACGGGTTACACACGTCGGCACATTTCAGAGCAATCTAACAGGAATAAAACCTTCTTTCAAGATTCAAACAAAGAATGTATTCAGTTCAAGCAGAAGTTCAGCAGAGGGTCTTTACCTGGAGCATGAAGTGTCGGTGCGAGGGCAACTGCAGGTCCAGATCCTGCTGGTCCAGATGCTCTCTGAAGCTCAGGAGGAACTCGTTCTGTCGGCTGATGTCTGTGGCCAGGATCAGAGAGCCCAGCTGCTGCTCCATGTCCTGCCTGTCACACAGAGCTCCAGGTCAGTCAGAGCTCAACCATTACATTCAAACGTGTTACTGTCAAACACTTTCTCAGATCAACAACAATAAATGACATCATCACAAATACAACAACACATAGAACATGGTGAATGTGAATGGGAGCTCTCGTTATAATACACTCCGAGCACACTTCCTCTGTTTTTTCAGTCATTACATCATTATCATAATTGTTGGGATGGGCCACCTCTTTGTCTCCATTCTGATTCATTCAGGATTCTGTGTCGGACAGTTGGTGGGTCCACGGGAAGATGGCTGCTCCGTCAGCAGTGACACAGCCTTGGTATTTCAGCGGGGGCTTCAGGCAATGTGGGGTTAAGTGTCCGGTCGGCTATCATGCTGAGGCCTGCCTGGGCTCTCTCTCTGTGTAAGTATGTAAGTGTTATGTCTGTAAGTATCTTGTCACTGCTTAGTGTCAGTAAATGTCCTCTTTTTTATCCATTTGGTTTGGGCTTAGTATGTGAAGCAACAACTTGATTTTTGTTACAACAATTATCAATATCATCATAATGATGCATCAGAGACTGTTTCTGGAGACTCAAAGAAATTTTAAAAAACTGGGATGTTCCAATGGCAACTGGTATCCCAGTCTCACTTCCAAGTAGCAATTATGCCAGTTTAGCAGGTGAGGGCCCCATAAAATACATGTTGGAGCTATGCTTCTGTGAGTTTGATGCATTCATCAAATATATAAAGTGAATAAACATTTCAGCCTTACGTCATGTCTGGTTGCAGGTGTGCCAACAGGCCGGACTCTCGCAGCATTCCCACAGTGGACCTCCAGTGGTGGCTCTCCAGCACAGAGGTGTTCTGCAGCACAGAGAGTAGACACAGTTGAGCGTGTTGTTGTGAGTTGTTCATATTGTTCATGAAGCACTCAGCGTTGTGTTACCTGGTACAGTGAGGCCAGGTGGTGCTGCGTCTTGATAAGAAATGGCTGGTTGACCCCCGGGTGGTCCACGTCGTGGGCGGCTGCGGCCAATAACCCCAGGAATATGTCCAGAGGGCTCAGCTGCTCTGCCAGCTACAACATACACAAGTGCCTTACTTTAAACATAACCCTGGTATCATAAAAACAAGTGTGCATTAAGATCTAATGTCACATCAACCTCAATGATCAGTTAATAGAAAAAGATGCTGAAAAAAACAGCAATAGATCTAACGCAACATAGAATTACCCAGAAATAGAGTTAGGGTGACTGTGAGGCCCAAAACAGAACATGAAATGGTAAGTAAGAGGTCTTTCTATTTCAATTCAACGATAATTGAAATGACTGCCACAGTAATTTGATTGATTACTATTAACTTGATGATAAAATGGTAAGCTTCACATCGTGTCTTTCTGTGTGCCACTCTGCATTGTACTTCACGGACATGATCAATTCATTGATATGAGTGCTTTTAACAGAATAACTGTACCACAAAGCCAATTACAGCAGGGAGTAAAAGATGCAGAGCCACTTAATCTGGTGAGAGGGGATTGTGCAGCGGTGGAAGGATGTGTTGTCAATCCTAAATGAGGAGGAATAATCCCTGAGGGGCACTGACTAATGCAATATGTCAAGGAGAGGCACAGGCCCTTTCAAACATTACTGTCATTCACGTTACATTTGGATTGTGTGCGTGTGTGTGTGTGTGTGTGTGTGCGGGTATATTTGCGTGCGTGTCTCGAGCCTCACCTTGGGCTCCTTTAGGTAACAGTACATGGCTTGTGTGACATCAGCAGCGTGGACAGCATTGTGATAAGGATTCTGAGAGTGGTAGTCCTCTTGCACCATACCTGGAGTGGGGAAAAATCCATTTAAATTCATGACCAGGACGGTTCAGATTTGTGTCCATCTTTACTGCTGTGATCAGGCTAAGACAAAAGACAATCTGCTCCCTGTTACTATGACAACGGTTTCTACTGTATGCGTAAAAGTATGTGATATGAATTCACAATTTCTACATTTTAATTGGTGAGTTCTCATCTTTGATTCAAATTCTTAGATTACAATTCCTATGGAAAAAGGATATATCATAAACCAATATATACATATAATATTATGAGTATATAAAATGGATTCATGGCTTGTTTAACCAGAATAATCACATTGAGGTTTAAAGATCGGTTTTCCAAAGGTGTCCTGACTAAAAAGCATTCACAATACAGCCCTCAAAATATGTACTGTATATAAAACATCCAATACATTCAGTTTTGAAACATACACAAAATAATAGAATTATTATGAGCAATAAAACAATTATAAACAACGAAATGTCATTTGACCCACGTACCTAGAAACCTGTGTAGTTTGACCATGTCCAACTGGAAGTGGTGCACAAGGTCGTACACATAAAAGAGATGGCACATAAGGGTCACCAAGCTGTTTCCTGTAAGAGAAAATGGTTATTATATTGAAGCTGAGGCGTATTGGTTTTACATGTTCATCTTTAGTACCGTTAGTGAGGCGGTCGAAGAGGAAAATATCAAAGTTCCATGTGCTGACTTTAGACAGCATGTGCTGCAACACAACACATGTTATGAATACATCATGAACATTATACTGTACTGAAGTTCAGAGAGAGGCCTTACCCCGGCCTGCCCCAGGTAGTCGTCATCCAGCAGGTGCATGGAGCCAGGGCAGTGGGGCACCAGTCCCCGGAGCAGGCGCGACGAGTGACAGTATCTCTGGAAACTGAGCAGGCGTTTCACTTTCCTCCTGTTACACAGCTCTACCTCCCCCTGCTGGGCACTGGCTGAAATACAGTAACAGACATGTTATGGACAGTATAGCATCATTATGGTACTCATTCCAGTGGTTCATACTGGTTGCCTCGCTTCACTCAGTGTGCCACAAGGGAAGCTGTTGTTTATTAATAGCGTATACAGAGTGAAAGTTGAGAGTCAAGAAAAGTGTCTTTGAATGTCCACAAATGTGCTTTATAAAACAGATGCATTATAATTATTTTCTACAGACCTGTCACCTTATTTCATCAATCATCTGAAATTTCATAGTTTAAGTTCAATTAGGTCAATAAACACAATAATTCTGGGTTTTAGCATGTTTTGGGAACTTCAAATTATTACTAAAGAGGACAGAATAATTTAATACAACACATGATTAAACATGACTTTAAAAAAGTCAGGATATCCGGTGGCTATTTTTCATCTGTAGGACCCTGGCCATGATGTTAAAAAGCAAATAAAATCCATAACAATGCCTTGATTAAAATGGCCTATTTCTTAAGTAGTACTAAATAGAGAGACAAACCAAAAGAAGGACTAAATAGCTTTAGCGTAAGGGTTATTATGGGTTAGTCAAAGGCTAACGTCAGTGTGGGAGGCATTCTAGAATAGACAAGTGGATAATGTGGTCCACTTGAACATGTTCCTGAAGTGGCTCTTACTGTTGAGGATCCGCAGGTCGATCAAAGGATAGGAGCCCCTTCTCTCCAGCAGCACACCTGCGTGTCTCGTGCGCACCCCGCCATCAGCTGCACACACAAAGAGGAACATTGAGGACATGTCAGCTTCAAAACAGAAAACATTTGTCCTAGTCACATCCTGCCCTGGACATGCTTGTCACGTTTTATCTGTAATCCTATTTGACATTTGCTAGGCTAAAAGGGAAAAAGGTTTGGACAAAAGCGTGATAGAAGGGCTGTTCCCATATATAGTTCTAATGATAATAATAGTCACTTCTGTTTATCAGGGAATGGGAACATGTCTTTGTGTTGTTGATCAGCAGGCGCCTGTGCTGTGTTCATCTGCACTGAATGGATTTCATGCCACACTGCAGCTGGAACATCCAGTCTACCAGGTTGTCAACAGATATGGATCACAAACATTATAGACTCTGATAAGCACTTGACTATTATATTTTTACTGGGGGAATGTCCCAACTGCTTTCTCCTTCTGTTGTTGCCACAAGCTAAAAGTAGCTTGAACAATCTGGCATTATATATAAACAATTTAAAAACGTAAAGAGAAAGTAAAGGATTTTCATAAACTATAGTAATAGTCAACACGGTGATTGTTACATACTTTGTTCTGGTAGGATAAAAATAAACAGATGTTCCATTCTTCAGCCCAAGTATCCTAAAATTAAATTACAGCTGCTAAAAGAACTAATATTTTCATAAAAGTGAAAATCAAAGATTGGAACTACAAAAAGTCTTAGGGAAAATAAAACAGAACATTGTCTGATGTGATGTATTTGTTCTCGAAGCCTATAATAAACTCTTGTAGTCTATAATTCACAAATTAAAACTCTGTAGATACACATTTATGTGAAGCTGTAATTATTGTATAACATTGCATTTCATGGAAAATTATATGGTATCAATATCATTGTGTGGTGTCTGCCCTAATTCAATGATTTGAAACACTTTGTTGGTACTAATTCCTGACGGCCGCCTCAGATTTTATTGCCTCATCTCTATTCAAAATCTGAAATAAAATGGACTCATCCACAGGGTATTTTTTAACTTAGTGGCACAAATCACTACAAACGACAAAAACCCCTGAAAACTGAATAATTTACAGACGTGAGGAGAGTAACTGGGGCGTATCATGCCGATAATCTTGCTGATTCGCCTCATCTCTGTGGGTCCCGTCGAAGGTTTTCAAAAAGCAGCTAAACTCCTCACTAATGGCCCATTTAGCCTCTGCTCTGTCTCTGCCACATCTACTCGATCACGGGCAAAAAGGGAAAAATGTAGGTTAGCCGACTGCAGTGAGCTTTAGCGTGTGTCGCCCGAGCATTTATACATAAAACATGAGCAGGAGCAGAGTCTGCCCCCCCACTCAAACACAACGATAAGTAAAACGAGCATATGAGCAGGGAAGCAGAACAGTCCCGTCTTGGCCTACTTTGGACAAGAAAACTGATTCTTCATCATTGGCACACGTCACCTGTAAGAACACCACCATGTACGGCTGTATGATTTTGGTACTCGATGTTTCAGACCCTCATTGTGATTAACATTGATCCTTAAAAAGTCTAATTTTGTTCAGAATAAAAATAACAACTTCAAGAACTACATTTGAAATAGCCTCAATATGCAGTGTATACACAATACACAATATCAACACATTGATTCTAACTTCTAACCTAAGCACAGGGGTATTCAGCTCAGTCTTCAAAGGGCCAGTGTGGCAGCAGGTTTTCATCCCAACCAAGCAGGTAACCAGGCTCCACTCATTTCCTCATGTCTTCAGCTTCAAACTGGATTGATTCTGGTGTGCTCCTGCTCTGGAATTACAGCTCTTGCTTTAAGTCCCGAAAGGCTGAGAATATCGATTTTTGTATATATTTGACCAAAAAAAAGTTCCAGTGATGCCCCTGAGGAACATATTCATAGTTACACATTCTGCCGTCATAATTAGCATAAAAGAGTCATACAACCTATTCATCATGTTTACATCTATGTGAATTGATTAAATTGTTACAGCAAAATCAAGATACTTTGTTGCTTACATTTGTATATTTTTTCTTTGCAAAGAACTCAATAATAGTTGCAGTTTTTGCTATTTTGTGACCACGGAAATTGCGCTTTTGAATTGCGATTAATCATGCAGTACTACCCCCATCGGGAGCAACAGCGCTGTCTTATGTCTTATCAATGCACCCACGTTGCTTGTTGTGTCAGTCCAGGCTTGTTTACCTCTCCTCTGCCTCAACAACTCTCAGTGTAGTGAAATAGGTCATTGTATCCTTGCATCTGATAACTGGGTCACTTCGGAAAACAACATGAATCAGTCGCGGGCGTCGAAAGCCTCATCATATGGCTCCACATCAAAAATCCTCACTCATGCTGCCATTATGGATGAACGAGGTTCATTTGCGTGCATCCAAAACAGGATCCGCAGGAAGAACAAACACGGAGCGTCACTGCGCTTCTGCTCCCAAGGCGGCAGAACACCGCATCGGAGAGAATATGGGGCACACATTGTGCTTGACACAGTTTCAGTGAAGATGGGAAAGCCTGCCAACTCCTATGTGTACAACATGGTCCGCAGATTTGTCCGTCAATGTGTTAATAGGAAATCATATAATTCTGACCAATGTGCTTGAAAAAGAGGGGGCTATTTGTTGTGTTATAAATGACCCAATTATACTGTATCAGGACATAAGTATAAGTAAGTATAATCAAATGAGCTACTGTTTGCCATTCTACTTTTCCAAATTAGCTATTGAATTAAAGAGGAATGCCAACACAATTACATGATATTTCAGGTTAATCCATGTACTTTGGTTTAAAGAGGGAGATTAGGTTTTTTTTGCTTTGAATGAGCAGAGATGTGGCAATAACATAAATCATGATACCTCAAAACAATACTGTGGGCACAACACATCATTAAATCAGCAGCTAAAAAAACAAACCAAGGCCATGATCATGAGTAATTTAAAGGGGAAAGATGACATAACCATTTGAGTTTAAAGCAGTACATATTCTACCATGAAATGTGGGTTACATCGCTTTTAAAGATAGTAAAATAAAAATACACTTTCCGGAAAACAATTAATCAAGATTGTGAGGTCTGACAGATATATATCTTAGAAAGCATTGGTTTAAATGTTTCTGAATCGCAATTTGGATACAAAACATTGCTATAAGCACATATAGCCATTTCTCCAGACAGATATGGCTCTTTCATTGTCCAAACACTTGTCAAGGCCAGGCAATGTGTCCCAATGAGTCATTATCGGTGTGACAAAGCTGTGTCTCTGTGCGTCTTGTAGTCATATCAAACACTTTCACTGAGGCCGATCCAATGAGGTCATCGCTATGCACCGAAGTGAAGTCAAAGGTGTTTTATGAGTCAGCGCACAGGTACATCCCCTCAGTATGAATCATCACACATTCAATAAAACATTTACACTTGGTATTCAGCATGCAAACCTGACAAATCTCATTCACGCACCACTTGGACATTGGATTTTTAAGCCGACAGCTCAATGTTCAAATTCTGCTTCTTTGTTCAATTGGTAAAGGGTCTACTATGTATTAAAATAAAATATCAAAATTTAAACTATATAAGGGATACTACCAGTTTTTTTGTCGTTCAGAATGTTTTGCAATTTTCTGCTTATAACATTTTCTTTTTTTGCGTGACTACTATTCAATTGGGTACTTGATATTGTGTAAACATACTGTCTGTTGACCCATACTTAATATAAGACATATTGTAAACTGCAGTCATTTGAGTATCCAATAGAGAAGTGTGGAAAGTTCTGTCAACACAACGTGTATCTCAATTGGTGAAAAAATGAACAATAGGATGACATAACGCCAGCAGCAGTGTTAAATGGTGGGTGATAGAGGGTGATGTCACACTGGTGTCATCAATTTCTCAAATGTAAGTTAGCTGTGTTACTCAAATGTATTTATGTACAGAATTTTTTACCTCAACATCAACAGAATAAGGTTTATTCCATTGTCCTCAAAGGGAATTTTGTCCTCTGCATTTGACCCATCCCTGGGGACCCATCTCCAGATGCTATGCTCAGCTTGGTCAGGACTATGTTTGCAGGAACTCATTCTCCCCATGGTTCTTATTTTGAGTGGTGATCGGGAAACCGGAGCGCTGGAGGAAACTGGAGGAAACCCACCCAGACACGCAAACACCCAGAAACCCAGAAGGCAGGATTCAAATCACGCAACATTCTGCTACTAAAATAGCTACTCATAATTACAACTACGCCAGAGTTTTGTTTCCCAGCAAAAAAAAAAGATGTAAGATGTGGCTTGAAACTGGAAACATACACATTTACCTTATATGGCCTCTTTCAAGGTCTAACAAAGAAAAGCTCACAACAGAGAGCGACTCCAGAGAGAGATCGGAATCCATTCTAAAACTCAGAATATGACCTGTAATAATTGGTCAACTTTATACTTTTAAAGTTGACCCAATATTACAGGTGTGCTCACAAGTTTACATATCCTGGCAGAATTGATCAATTCTAAAAAAAATAAGAATGACAAGACGTTTTCCTCTACAGTGAAGGGTTCAGTCCTTTAGTATCATTCAAACCTATTTGTGTCGACTGCCACAACATCACTAGGGTGTGCAAACTTTTTAATGACAGTCATTATGTCAGTGGCATTACGATTCAAAAAGAGTAAACACAGCTGTCAGATAAAAACGCCTTCATCCAACCACATTATCATTGATATTGTAATCATTGATATGTCAGTATAAATATTGCTGTGCCTTATAAACTTAGGAGCACAATACTTATACTTTTAAATGTTTACTAATATTTGAATTGCCTCCAATTGATGAATATAGGTAAAAAAAAATGACATCTTTTAAAACTGATATTCTGGATGACCCGGGTGGTCCTCTACAAGTGAGTAACAACTTAGCTAACCCCGTACATAAAACATTTTACCAAGACGAATTAATAAATAATCAGCCCTGGTAAACATTGGTTGTGACCACAGAGACTCCCATTCTAAGCTGTTATAACAAAAAAACATAAATGTTCCATAAGTTATCAAATATTCATGCAAACTTAGTACATCCAGCTCCTTCAGGACTCCGTTACCTTTGTGCTTCTCCTCTGGTACCAGCTCTACTTCCTCCTCTGGTTCTACCCACTGCTGGCTCTTCGGGGGGCTCTGCATACCCCCTTTTCGGGCCCTCCAAGCTGCCCTGAGTTGCCGGATAAGCGCAGGCAGCTCCAAAGCCAGGGACAACCCACCTCCGCAAGTGACCGGGGGGGTCCTGAGACTACCCCACATGGGCGAGCTGGGGGTCTCCTCGGGACAGACGTCAACCACACCTCCCCCCAGTCCTGAGTCTTGCAGACGGATGTCAGCACCCCACAAGCCCTCCAGGACCGGCATGGCTGAGGCGGGCAGTGGGGTGATGGTGGTAAATGGAGGTAAAACAAAAGAAACCACAAAATCTTTTCTGCTGCGTTGGGTCACTTTGTCATGAGTAAGAAATTAAAAGCGGCTGAGAAGTTGACACGAAACTATAGGCAAGATAAATTAGCAAGATATCAACGGAGAAAGTCCCGTGAAGAGGTTCCCCGTGTGATCCGTACCAGTGTTGTTGGAGCATCTGCCGCATTCTCCCTCTCCTCGTGCTCCGTAGTGTTGTTATGGAGTCAGGCCCCTCCTCTCTCTCTCTCTCTCTCTCTCTTTCCGCTACACACCGAGGTCTCTCCGGTTATGGGCCAATGGGATTTATATGAGAAAGAGCTTTTCAGGCGCATCCACCATTGACTTAACCCCAGAACAATAGTAGCACAATACCGTTAATCCAATTTGAATTAGTGTTATCTAATGTCTTGCTGCTGCACAGTTACGAAATACATCCAGATGGAGAAGAATTAGAGGGAAGACTAAATGTTATCGATTTGAATAGTTTTATTTATGTTTTCTTTTGAACAGGGTCAGACAAAGAAGGTGATTAATTTTGTCTATGTATTTCTAATGGCAAATCAGCAGTAACATTCAAATCAAATTACTTAATGTCTGTATTGCCCAAAATTTCAACTGCAGTTGTCTCGGAAAGCGTCACAGAATTGTCAATCCACCCAACGGATGATTAGAAAATAGAAAACGTATAACAAATAAGAAATACAACACATTATCACCCAATAATCATTGGTCTGTTGGTAATGTGTTAAGCAATGTTCATAAATGCTCTGTCCTTAGACCCCCCCTGCATCGGCATTTTGTTGTTGAAATAAAAAAAAAATAACAAAATGATAAGAGATGTCTTATTATCACAAAATACATTAGTAAATTAATATACAGTATACAATTTGAGAATACGTTTAGGATTAAGGGTCTCACCAATAATAATTATGCATAGTTTCTTATTGTGCTTGTTTTGGGCACTCCGTACACGTACATACAAGTATTGATTGAAGGAGAATTATGTAACTTGTCTCCATGGAGATTCATTCATGTGGCTTGGCATGTTCAACAATATGGCATTTAACTTTATTTGATGTGGGGGTTTTTTCGCAATAATACATTTTGATTGTGGTTAACGATTCAAATAAGTAATGAACTAAATATAGTATTGAATTTTCTACAGAGATAAACATAATAATATTGACACTACTTTAATCCACAATTACAGTTTAGGCTGCAGAAAATTGAAAAATAGTGGTGCATAGGTACCATTCTATATTCATCCTAAATCTATTTATTTTAGGGGTATATATATGTTAGATTCTGCTTAGAAATTAAAAAAAGCAACTAAAGCAAAATGAAGTGAAGCATTCTTTGGGGACGACCATGAGGCCTCTGTTCAGACTGTCCTTAAAAGTCACGAATGCTCGGAGGCTCACAAACCGGGAGATAAATTAGCTCAAAAGCATTTGGTAAAAGGTGGGATACAAAAAGGAGGAATGCTGTTTAGGACACGCTCATCGCTCTTCACTGAAATGTTCCCTTGAGAATAGTCACATGGTGCAGAAGTACAGACGCATGCATCCAGCCTTGAACGTCACGTATCGCACACACAAGGCTACGGCGAGAAATCATGAGACAAAGAGAGTGCGATAAGAGATAGTTTGTGTGAGAAAGTGCTGCAGCGCCACAGAGGCCATTCACAAAAAGGCTACATGTCACAACAGCCAACTTCTGGTGAATAAGATGCCGTTTACACACATATTTTGCCTTTCACTGATCACTGGATCGCAGCCACTCCGGTTGCTGTAAAAGAAGGTTCTTTGGAGACTTTATACTGCAATCATGTTGTGTGTTGGCAAAGAGGTTTATATTTTAAAGCATTTTTAATAGATTTTTATTCACCAATAAATGCCAGTTTTCAGTCGTTCAAAACTGGTCCTTGTGAGTAATGACCAAAACAGCTAGAGTCATACATGATACGGTGGGGCAAAAAGTATTTAGTCAGCCACCAATTGTGCAAGTTCTCCCACTTAAAAAGATGAGGGAGGCCTGGAATTTTCATTATAGGTATACCTCAACTATGAGAGACAGAATAAGAAACAGAAATCCAGAAAATCACATGTCTGATTCTTAAATAGTTATTATGGATAATATTTCCAAAATTATGGTGTAAAATAAGTATTTGGACATCTACAAACAAGCAGGATTTGTGGCTCTCACCAATCTGTAGCTCCTTCTTTAAGAGGCTCCTCAGTCCTCCACTTGTTACCTGTATTAATGGCACCTGTTTGAACTTGTTACCAGTATGAACGACACCTGTCCACAACCTCAAACAGTCACACTCCAAACTCCACTATGGCCAAGATACCAAAGGACACCAGAAACATAATTGTAGACCTGCACCAGGCTGGAAGACTGAATCTGCAATAGCTAAGCAGCTTGGTGTGAAGAAATCAACTGTTGGAGCAATTGTTAGAAAATGGGAGATGATGATCTCCCTCGATCTGGGGCTCCACGCAAGATCTCACCCGTGGGGTCAATATGATCACAAGAACGGTGAGCAAAAATCCCACAACCACACGGGGGAACTAGTGAATGACCTGCAGAGAACTGGGACCAAAGTAACAAAGTTAATGATGTAAAAAACATCATTAACACACTACGCCGCCAGGGACTCACATCCTGCAGTGCCAAACGTGTCCCCTGCTTAAGCCAGTACATATCCAGACCCGTCTGAAGTTTATTAGAGAGCATTTGGAGGATCCAGAAGAGGATTGGAAGAATGTCATATAGTCAGATGAAACCAAAATAGAACTTTTTGGTAAAAACTCAACTTGTCGTGTTTGGAGGAGAAAGAATGCTTAGTTGCATCCAAAGAACACCATACCTAATGTGATGCATGGGGGTGGAAACATCATGCTTTGGGGCTGTTTTTCTGCAAAGGGACCAGGACGACTGATCTGTGTAAAGGAAAGAATGAATGGGTCCATGTATTGTGAGATTTGGAATGAAAACCTCCTTCCATCAGCAATGGTATTGAAGATGAAATGTAGCTGGGTCTTTCAGCGTAACAACGATCCCAAACTCACCGCCCGGGCAACGAAGGAGTGGCTTTGTAAGAAGAATTTCAAGGTCCTGGAGCGGCCTAGCCAAACTCCAGATCTCAACCCCATAGAAAATCTTTAGAGGGAGTTGAGAGTCCGTGTTGCCCAGCGACAACCGCAAAACATCACTGCTCTAGAGGAGATCTGCATGAAGGAATTGGCAAAAGTACCAGCAACAGTGTGTGAAAACCTTGAGAACACTTACTGAAAACGTCTGAGCTCTGCCATTGCCAAAAAAGGGTATATAAAAAAGTTTTGTTTTCGACCAAATACTTATTTTCCACCTTAATTTGCTAATAAATTCCTTCAAAATCAGACAATGTTTCTGTCTCTCATAGTTGAGGTATACCTTTGATGAAAATTACAGGCCTCCCTCATCTTTTTAAGTGGCAGAGAACTTGCACAATTGGTGGCTGACTATATACTTTTTTCCCCACTGTAAACACAGCAAAGTCAAGCAAAATATCATGTTTTATCTATATTTTCTTGGCTGAAACCACAGCGCTATCCATCAAGTTGAGCTAGTTCTGTTGCACTAGCTCAATTTATGCTACTTGATTATATATATATATATATATACATATATATATATATATATATATATATATATATACACATTTAGTCTGTGGATGAGTAAATATGATCAGAGTCTTTTTCTATACTTCCTTTGAAGGATAACAGCTCATTGGTTTACTCTACAATCAGGCAAAGGAACATGGAAATGATGGCAGATAAATGACAAGGTCAGTGGGAGAGGATACAGGAACTTGGACATGAGCCAGAGACCAGATTAAAGCATGACGCCCTCCAACCGTATGGGAGGACATACGCACTGCACTGGTCTGTTTGGAACTGGAAATGTAGGTCAGGCAGGCAATTATATGTCCAAATCAACCTAATTTAATGCTTTGAAGACTGCAAGTATACGTTCAATCATAATTCTAGGAGTTTAGCACACATCTTATCTTTCAGTGAATGCTGCTGCCTTTTCAAGGTCAGTGAATTAAGTAGTTTAAAACTGCATACCATAAGCACGAAAGGATACAACTTGGAAGAGTTCCCAACTTGATGAAAGAAGAACATCTTCAAAGTTACAGTGGAACCGTTTTATGGGAACTCAAAACACTCAACAAAGTCAGACGATATTTGCGTTGAAGTATTAGGGCCATAAGACATTCTTACCCAGCATGCGAACTTGTATGGCATTTTGCTCCGTCCGTTTCAGTGCGACTGCTCCACAACCCTGTGACAAAACCAGTAGCTCAGATTAATATAACCACATCCAAAAATACACAGCTGTATCAAAAGAGTATCAATGAGGTGTGCTTTGGAAAGAGAAACCATGCTAAAAGTCACAGTGACCCTGTGGACAGCTTCACATGCACTCATCCTTTTGACAATGAAGTGACATTGCATCGCTTTTTAAAGCATTACGAACACCATATAACATGAATCACACACAAATCACACAAAACAACATGTATACAACATTCTGTTCTATGCTTTCCACATAAATACTGTATGTAAGCAGTATATTTATCAAACACTGAGACTGAAGTATGTTTAACAACTTTACAGTAATTCCACCAGAAACTGACATGAAATGAATACACAGATAGCCAAGCTGACTTTAAAGAACTATCAGCGGCGTGTCTCCTGAGCACTACAGAGGAAAAGTGGGTCACCGGCAGCAGCCAAATGTTGCCAAAATGTGCGAGTGAATCACAGACTCCCACATGGCGTGTCCAGCGTAAAGCCTTTCAGACATCGTGATCCTCATCAGGCCCTGGGTTTGTTTTCTGATGGAGGCTCCACCACCTGCTTGTTTCATTTACATTGTACTGGGCGGTGGCACAGTGGCACATTGGTTAGTTATTGTGCATCACAGCAAGAAGGTCCTGGGCCTCCTGGAGTTTGCATGTTCTCCCTGTGTCTGCATGTTACTAAAAACATGTGCAAAGGGTCTGAATGTAATGAGAGTGAAAGGTCCCGCTCCTGTCATCACTGTGTGTGGAGAGAATGGAAATTACTGATACAAGATCTTAAGGCGCTTTTTGTGGCCATGGTCTGTGAAATATAAATAAATAATGATGACTTACTTACTAGAAAAAATAAAAAACCTTAACATTAATACTTTATCTAATTTCCAGGGGATTTAATACATAATATGGATAATTGTAATTATTAACATTTTTATAAATTCAAATCTAGATTATATCGATAGATATAAGTATGCATGTTTGGGCCAAAAAACACTTTTGTAATTGTCCTATACTTATACTCCCGCTGATGTTTTAAAGGTGAATGCTTGCGATTTGTGTGAGTAGTCATTTAGTCAGAGGTTGACACATCTATTTAGTGTGAGCCACGCTACTCTACAGCACAGCTAGAATAAAAGAAAATAATAAATAATACAAAAGTACATATAGTTTCTGATATGGCTTAACCCAGGTACATAATTCAAGTTTTCCAGACTATTATGACTCTTATTGTGCATTTTCTGCCTGGAAATCCCCAACACTGATGTGAGTGTTTATTCAGACTGACACATCTAAACAGTCCCTTAATGAGGTCTACTATTTATAATGGCCTGTGATGACTATGGCCCAGCATCAGTGCTCGCAGAGGGGCGAGAGGTGAAGGGGTGCAGGCGGCTGAAAGAACATGTAAGCTCATTTTTATGGGATCTAAACCGTCTAATGAATATGCCGCTTTACCCTGGGACGAAGATAGCCACAGACTGTCAACCACTGTTGCGCTTTGTTTAGAGAAGGGAAGGAAGCCTGTGGATGGAAACAATTCCAGCAGCAGCAGCAACAGCAGCATGTAGTAGTAGTAGTAAAGGTATGCCTTATCTGGATGTTAAGACTTCTCATCAAGGTTCTTTATAATAATAATAATAAGTGATATTTTTAATCACTTTTCAGAGCACTCAAAGATGCTTCACATGTTATTATTCATTCACTTCACACACGGTGGTGATCAAGTGCTACAGTAGCCATAGTCGTCCTGAGGCAAATTGATGGAAGCAAGGCCACTGATTTGTGTAATCTTCCCCTCCAACCACCACCAATCCTTGTATTACACACCAGTCTCATTCTAGGCATGATAAGTGAAGTGCCTTGCCTAAGGACACAACAACAGTTTGGTATGTTACAGCCTCAGCCGTCCCACTGTGGCAACTGTGTTCCCTAAGGTCTTTAGTGTCATCAACAACTGAAATAGTAGAATACAGGAGTTAGAATTTGACAAAAAGCGGTTTGATTTACTAAGGATGAGCAATTTAATTTGGTTGAAAAACAAGATTCAAGTCTTTCAAGGTAAATTCAACCAGTAGCCAACAAACTGCTGTAGATTTTTACTGACCAATCACGTGAGAGATGCAGGAGGCATGGTCCCTCATACTATTATACTGTAGCCATGCAGTCTCCTTATTGAATGGTAATAGCATGTAAACAAACACTAAGATGTCACAAATGTAATAGGGATTTTATATTAGACCGTCCTATCCGAGAACAATACTGCAGGCTTACTTTGCATCATATTTGTCATGCCCACACACCATCACATAAGTGCAGCCTCCAATGATGCAGGTCACTGCCGTAAAGCTGCCAATACTGCAATGACAACCCCTAGCATAACACTGCAGCAATATATCGTGCTAACATGATCCTAATTCCTCAAGAAAGATGTTTCAGGACGACTTACCGTGATTGCACAACAAATTATACAACAACCTAGCTTACACACAAGCATGCTTAGAACTGCGGGAACTATTTTAACACAGGATTCAGCAGCAAACCCGAAACTACTAACTATAGACGCCTCGCTTGATGACTTGTTTTCATACATACCTCGACAATTAAACAGGACATTTAACCATCGTGGCTGCCCATAAGAACAAGTGAACGTGTCCGAGTGTCCGCTGCAGCAGGGAATGAAGGACAGGGTATCATTTCCAACCCGTTTTACCCTATTTTTTTTTTTTGCAATAATCGTTGTATATAGAAGAGCAAAAAGCAACATGAACTTGGGTCTACTATGTATCTTTGTGTGGTGTTGTGAGCCGCAGAGTACGGAGGGGGGCGGGGCTGGTTGTAGCGCCGCTGTCTTGACCAATCACAGCGCAGCACTCTCACTGTCGCTTTGTGTTGTTTATCATTTTTAATTAGGTAATGTTATCTGTAAGTTAAGATCTGTACTATATTTATAATGAATGTAGATCAAGTATGCCTTCAAGATCACGTAGCCTATGTTGAACTTTATACTAAACTGACACAGTGATTAAAAATTAAACTGGGGCACCTAACTTGTATTACAATCTAGACCACTTGTTCATCGTTCCAAAAACGTGTTGGTTCCATCTAGTTTTTTAAGCGTGTATAATTAACATATTAATCTTCTTTATATGCCCTCACTCAGCCAAAAGAATTGTGTTTCACCTGGTTCTTCCAAAGTATGCAAAGATACCATGACAAAAATAGAATGTTGTTTTTGTTGGAACAAACAAAAGATATTATTTATGATATAAAGTGGCAGTGTTTACTCGCACTGATGAAAGGTGTTGTCAATAAAAAAAAACATACAAACTGTCCCATTAAAACATGCATCAGCTTCAAATATGGACTAATAAAGTTGCAATTCCTGAATTTCTGTGACTGTTAGTATGTGAATCTTGTTGTTTCAGCACAAATTGGAAGGATTGTCACTGTTCATAATAAAAAACACTTTCTATATCAACGACCACTGATCTCATTACATGTGGGCACAAATGCATTGTCCTTTATTCAGGAATACGCAGCACTTGACATGGTGTAACATCTTATCATTAAGCAGACTATGGTAAGCATCTATACTGTTGAATCAAGCCAGACAGAATACTGCAGTTGCATAGACAAAACAAAATACAAAATGTTGCTTGTAATCAGAAATGTTAATGGGGACAAAGCAACATCTCATTTATAATACATTATCCAAAAGAGCAGCAAAAATGTTACTTACTGTATATAAAAATAGCAAACCCTACTCTGTTGTTACCAGCACAATTAACTACAACATTCTTAACTCCCGACATACAGTACACACACATACACACGCACACACACACACACACACACCCACCCACCCACATGTAAGGAGAGTGATGCATGACACAAGTCAAGGGTAAACACAAAATAAAGTTGTCAGATGCTGAAGGAAACTGAGGTGAAATGTACAAGTATCTGCGAGATGTGTGCTTTGAGGAGAAACATGTCCTTTAAAAAAATTCATTACATGAAACATCTGCCTTGGCTTCGCCGCTGGTGAGGAACCTGGAGAGAGTAAGCATTATTGTGATGTTATATCATTATACATCAACACAAACTAAACTAAAAATTAGGAAATGGAAGAAATGTGTGCAGACCTTAGGTGTCTCTGGGCTGCCAAAAGGAGACAGCTCTAGCGAATTTTCTATATCTGAAGAATTATTATGAAGATGTTGAGCAAACTTTCTCTTTAAAGCCTCAGCAATGAGAGCAGCAGGGTCAGTGCACAGAGCAGCACCTCTACTGCGCCTCCTTCTGACTGGAGTGCCCCCTGGTGATCTGTCAGAGATGTACATGCACGTTTTGAGCATTTCAACAGAAACATGGCTGTTTGTATACTCAGAAAAGACGTTATCAAATGCATTGTTTTATAAAGTGCTGGCAACACATTTGCAGCTCATTCAAGCCTCACAACTAGAATTGTCCGAGATTGGTCATTATATATATTTTTTTTACATTTTGATTGCCACTAGACAGATGACACAATTAATTTAACTTACCGATATACTGAACGCAGTTTCACTTGATTCAAGTCTTTCAGAACATCTAGCATAGAGGGTTGCCCGCTTTCTGTGACAGTGCCATTTTTATGTTTTTGTGGATTCTGGCCTTGGTTTTGTTTGCGGACTTGGATGAGCTCTGACACAGACTGGACTGGAGTACTGGTGCGAGGACCGGGGGGTGGAGGAGGAGGAGGAGGAGGGGGTGGTGGAGGACGAGGAGTCAACGTTAAGGCTGGACGGGATGATGGAGACATCATAGGAGCATGTTCAAGATCTAACAGAAAAAGAGTATTATGTTTTTGATTGATTGATAATTAATGTGTGGCTGAATCTAAACCTTAGGCCTAATCTAATGCAGCCATATGTGTACTTTTAACAGGTTTGCACCTTTCCCTGTCTTGTTGCACACCCTGAGTGATCTGATTTATGTCAAATGTAACGTTTACATTTCTCCATTGTGAGATCAATAAAGTTTTATCTTATCTTATGAAAACATTTAATATCCAGCTCGGATGTTTTAAAATCCCTAGTATTGTTACCGATGTATGTACCTGGACCATGAGGAGCAGCAACTATCAGTGCGATCTGAGCTTGAAGTTTGAGAAGCTCGGTCTCCAGTGCAGAGATTTTCTTCAAGGCGCTGGGGTCATGAGTTTGCTTCACACAACTGAAACCTCTTTGGCTTTTATGAAGCATTTGTCTCTGGACCCCTGATGCATTCCCATTTGTTTCATTATCGTGCTTGATCAGTGGCAAATAGTTCCTGCAACATTTAGATAAACGTATGACTGTTCCATACCTCATATGTAATGTGTAACCTAAAAAAAGAGATCGTACACACCTGGTTTTTGTTGAAGTGTTCTCCTTTTCCTCACAAACCCACATAATGTCAGCAAATGAGGGGATGGTGGGAGTATCCACGGTGACGTCCACATTACAATGAGGTTTATGGGAGATGAGCGGGATCTGACAAAGAGGGGGTTGGGGAGAAATGTTACCAAACCTTGACAAGGAAATGCAAAGGATTCAATAACTAATACCTGAACGTGGACTCTTGGAGGCAGTTGCAGCGGTAGGTTGGACCCAATCATCCTGACAATGCTGCGATACTGACCACACAGCTCACAGTCCCACACAGGAACGAGCTACATCAAGGCATAAAATACACATCAGACATTCATGGGGGCCAACATTCTGTGGCATTGGAGGCCATCAGTACCTTCTTGAAACCCTTGTGCTATCCTTGGGTCAAACATGACCCGCCACAATTATTAAAAAATACCCTAAATATCTATATTTTTGAGCTGAATTATTAATTAATGAAGCCGAGACACTTTTAGACCCTAATTTAAGGTATTTTTCTTCTACTTAAATCACTGTGACGGGTCGTTTTACCGAGGGTAAGATTAAATCACTTCTTAAAAAACCCATGTTTATTGAATGGCCTTCCTTTAACTGTGTGTTTTTAAACTTCACCTGTATTTTACTTTTACACATTGTCTTTGTTCTGTCCTTCTTGTTGTATGCGGTTCGTCTGCTTCATTCTCCTGTATTTCTTTTAGATATCTTATATTATTATGAATGTTCAATTGTTTTTTATTGCTTTATGCTGATGGTGCAGCTCTTTGTAAACACTGTTTTTGAAAAGTGCTATAAAAGTAAATATGCATTATTATTATTAATATTATTATTAATATTCCCCATTAAGACTTTTTTTTCTTTTGAAGTGGCAAATTCCTTTTCAGGACTGTGAAACAGGATAGAATAACAATACAGGGACTGATATTTAGTACTTTCATAAAAAAGACCCACCATTTCTGGAGGGGCTCCAAAATACTCCAGGACCATGCGCAGAACATGCAAAACATCTTCCAAGAGAGACATTAGAAGATCTATTTAAGCAATCAGTGAGTGATTGCCAAATGTCTCCTGTTCCCTTCGCATAGAACAGAGTCAAACCTGAAAGAAAACAGTTACAAAATTAAAAGTTTGAAATTAAAACGTGTTTATTATAGCTTTGTATTAAGATTACACGGGGTTAGATTCTTCAATATATAATAATTAATCTGTAGACTTATGTTATTCGTGTCATTGGGTTGTTTTTCAATGCACTATCGCCGCAGTGTGAAACATGCACATCTCATCAAAAGTACCGCTGGATGCGTGTAGCCAGGAAAACACGAGAAAGAGGAGAAATGGATCAACTTACCCTGACTTTTTCTGTTGGCCAATGATGCTGCAAGCTCCAAACTTAACCAGTGTGCCCAATAATTACATATACATTACATCTCTAACGATCTTTCTCGTGTTTGATCCAAAAACATGGTTTGACCGCAAGTTGTGAAGTCAAATAAAGCTGCACTATCATCCTCATTTGTGATTGGCTACTCAACCCAGAAGTGACAGAAGCAGCCAATAGCAGTGGTTGATGCTGAGAGGTGCACAACGGCTACCGACCAATAGCACTTCCTTAAAAATAAAGCACCAAATTTGTATTTCAGCAGCCGAACTGACAAGTGGGTAAGGGAGTTTATTTACTCTATTTACCGTCATACCGAACAGCATTTGTTTTTTATACACATTAAGACGAATGCGCCTCTAAAGTATGCTAATGTTAGTAACGCAAATGATGATGATTGCTTCTCAAATGGACACAACGTGAGCTGGTGCTAGTTATGCTACAGTTAGCTCCATCGTTAGCGTTAGCTAATGCCGTGTATCACCAGCTAGTCGAACAATGTGTGCATTGCCTCTTTCTTGATTTTGCTTACGCAATAATTATTTAGCTCTTACATAATTATTTATGGTACTAACGGTTGACGTTAACTAATAGCTATCACCAACCAATACTTTTTTTTTTTTATACAATCGACTTATCGTGTTGAAGTGTGGGAAACTTACAATTCCCACTTATTCTTGATTACTTTAGCACATTCTATTTAATGTTCAAATTAACACATTTCAGGAAGTGATTAACTTAAACTGCTCAAACTATATTCAGGAGGATCTGAAAACTGACAACTAATGTACACAAAGTGACAAAACTTAATCCATGAGACTGATTCAAACCATAATTAAAGAAACATTTATGTCTACTTTACAAATCCGTGCATCTTCAAGTGTGTTGATCATCATAATTGCAGATACTAAGCAATTTCAGCTCCCACTGAAAGTCCCCACAGCCAGACACTGTTTAACCTCTCTGTTGGCCCTGATCTCTGCACCATCAGATGTCATCAGACTCACTTAAAACTTAGTCTGACTGACTTTTTAAACACATTAATACAGTGGCACTTGATTATTGAATGCATCTGTGTACGCCTTATTTGTTAGAGTAAAGCACTTTGGATCCTAGTGTGCAAGAGGTTTCTTTGATTACTAAAATCTATAGCTGCCTTCAGCCCTAAGTGTCTATTTTATTTTGCCACACAGTATCAAACCACATTCATACGCTAGTATAGCTTCCTCTGTCACAAATATGTTGTAAAACAGATATGTTGTAAAATTAACACATTTGTTCAGGCTCAACCCGCCGTCTCCAACATGATGGATGCACTGTCAGTGGTCACTCAGCTCCGTGACCTCGCCTCAGAGCCGCAGAACCGTGAGGCGATTGTCCAGGACCAGGGATGTCTCCCTGGGTTGGTTCTGTTTTTGGATCACAAAAGTCCTGAGGTGCTGTTTGCCACTTTGCAGGTGGGTCAACATATATAGGTCATTACTAACATGTTCACAGAAACAATATTGTAATTAAATCTGAACCTGTTCAAAGACCTTGCGTTACTTGGCTGAAATGGCTCCCAACATTCCCACAATGAAGAATGAGCTGGGTATGATGGTCAGCTTAGAAAATCTTATGGGAAGGTACGTTTTATCCACCCAGTCAGTCATAGAAGCTTTGCATTTGTCAATAACTATACAGTTTATTTTACAGAGAGGGCCCATCTCTAGACATCACAAACCTGGCTAAAGAGGTCTATGACATTCTTAGCAAACCCACACTCAGGCCACCCACACCTGAAAGGACCAAAGGAAAGAAACCTCAGTTTTTCATCAACTCATCAAATAAAAAAGCTAAATCTGTGACCCTACACATCCAGGGGCTGGACAGCTTTGTAAGTGAAGAGGAAATGCACTATTATAAAATAATCTTATTCATGACTTAAGATTCTTGTATTCATTTTAGGAACGGCGTAGTCTATGTGAAGAGGCCCTTCTAAAGGTCAAAGGAGTTATCAGCTTTACTTTCCAGATGGCTTCTAAAAGATGCACAATTCGTATTCGCTCAGATCTTCCCACAGAAGTAATACTGGATATGGATTATAAGAATATAGATTATAGTTTTACTAGAATATTAATCCTATATGTTGTTTTTAAGAGTCTGGCAACAGCGATTGCTGCTACAAAGATACTGTCAGCCCAGCAGGTGGTGAAGAATGAAGAAGGGGGAGAGGTGGGTTTGACATATTTGGTATACTGAATATTATATATTTCAAATAAATTACGCTCGTCCAGGTTCTGGTCCCTTTGAAAGTGAGTGGAGCAGAAGTACAACAGAACACGGCTGTGCCAGACTACCTCCCGGAGGATGAGGACAGCCCAGAGAAGGACCTTAGCCGTGCTGTCTCTCGCACCACGGCTAAAGACGACTCAAGTGGGAGCTGGCTCAATGCTGCTGCTGGTTTCCTCACAAAAACCTTCTATTGGTGATTACCGTTCCACGTACGACTGACTTTTAAATAACCACTGGAACATGGAGTCATTTCTTCCTTATGTATTATTGAATCCATATTTTGTAAATATTTTCTGTTCTGCTTTTTCACTGTCATTTTAAAAGAGTTCCACTAAGGTGTGCCGTTTGAGCATGTAAATTGAAAAGATAAAAACCACCCTTCCCTGACTGATTCTTTGTGATAATTATTAGTACATGAACAGCAAGTAAAGTAATTGACTCATACAATTTATTTTCTTGCATAAGTACAGTATTGCTGACAACATAGCTTCATTGCCATTGGAAAAAATAGACATTTTTAAATACTGTACATTGTGTCTTTAAAATTTAGCTTTTGGGAAATTATGTTTAACAACTCAAACTGCACTCTGCTGTAGGGATATTGATTAGAACAATAGAACAAAATAAGTGTTACATTTCTTCTGAAACAGCTTTTATGGTTAACTGCTTAACCACAGACAAGCGTCTTGCATTCATAATAACTGACCTGATGGTAATTAAATAATTCTACAAGAAGTGAGCATAAACCATTGTAAGCATTGTAGTTGAAGCTATAAAGGCAAAGGAATGTAATAATTAGCAGCAGTATCCTTCAGCTCTTAACCCGTGGGTAAACTGTCTTATGGATACTTCATATTCCAAATAAACTGCTACTTGGGGTTGAGTACAAGAGTAAAGTCTAAACAGAATGACATTTTACTCATTAGATAAGACTCATGGATCTATAAGACTACACTTGAATTTAAACCATGTGACTGAAATTTGGTTATTGTTTATAATTCCTTATTTAGCAGACATAACCTAATAAACACTTAGCACAGAAAATATAATCCACATGACTTGTCTGTTTTAATACCACTTGTCCTGATGAATTACTTTACGCCAGATCCCATTTCAAACAAATCATTTTTTAACATTATAAATAGGCCATACAAACCATGTTTGGTTTTACTCTCCTTACATCAGTATCAGTCACAGCAGGGCGCCCAGCACACCCCTGTGATTTTAGGGTTCTCAAACTGCTGAAGGCCAGGATAGTTTCTTTGTTTTGTTTACTTCTGAAGATGCTTTCAGGATCTTTGGGCAATGGCTGCCATGCGCTTCTGGCAGTTAGCAACAAAGTCAACCTCCAGAAGGACGTGAAGGCCTTTTTGATTCAATCCAGCATCATGTTTCTCTGACTCAGCAGAAGTCTTGCAACATCGGTTCCACTTGATTAAGACGCATCAAGAAACATCTGCAAATATAAATAAAACATGTGTTGAAGTGTATTTCATGAGAGACTGTGGTGACTGACCTGGTCCCTGATGTGCAGACATGTCCTCCACGGTCAGAGGTTTGATGAGGCCGTTCTCTCTGAACATAACGGGAGTGCTCTCACCGTGCTCCAGCACCACGGCCTCCTGACCCTCTGCAGGGGACAGCCGTGACGGGTGAGGCAGCACAATCACCTCTTCAAATTCACCATTCTCTCTGAAAAATACAGCCATGAGATGAACAGGAACATTTCACTTTCACCAAACAAGTAACAAACGGCACCTCTGATCCGTCGTGCTCAATGTTGTAGGTCTGGAATCAGATGGTTTGCTGCCATTGCTGTGATGAGCAGGAGACAAAGTGACTGCAGTTGCACTTGGAGAAAGTGGAGCTACTGAAAATGACAAACAATGCTGTTGAGCATTATAAAGCAAAAAGATTTTATGTTTATATGCTTTAACTTTATTCCAACCATGGAAACCATAGACTGTAGTTAAGACTGAATCTTCCACACTTTGGAACAATGTTTCTCTTCCCTTATGTTTATTTTATTCGTTTATTTGACAGGGACATTGTGCATTAATATATATTTCTTTAAATGCACCAGAATTCGCCAAGTAGGCTATTTTTCAGTCCCTGGACAGGTGTAAATAGTCTCCCTAAAGAGAATAACAGTAACAAGTACAAACAAATGCAGTAAAACACAGGATAAAGGGCACACTATAAAAACACAGTTCACAGATATATATATATATAGGAGATATATATTATATATTATATAAGTAATGAGAAAAGGGACCTAGACTCATGATTACATGTCTGCTGTGTTACTAACCAGTTTTTCAGATGTATTTTGAATAGTGAGTATGTTGTAAATGTAATGATTGCTCTGCATAGTTAAAATAAGCAATGACAAACCTGCTCCATCTCCATTCCGATTTGGAAGAATTTTCTGAAAAGAAAAAAAAGTATACATAATGCCTTGGTCATTCTGGTTTTATAAGTCTACTACGCAACCTTTGTTGGCAAACCCAAGTGCCAACACTAATGTGGTCATGTGGTCATATAGTTGAGAACACATTTCTATCATAAAAAGAAAAACATGAATTGTACATGTTGACCTTCTGTCTGAGGACAAAAGCAAAAATACCGGCATGTATATTGTTAATAAAATCCTTGTATACAGCCTTTTTAATAAACTAGAGGAGGTTGGAGGATTATGATCCTCTGATCTTTACCTTGTCTGCTGTTTCAGAACGTCTTGTTCTCTTCATAATCTCCTCGAGGCGCTGTTAAAAGAAACATTTGAGTCATATGCTTCACAGACAGTTAAAAATCTATACGTTTATACCTTTTTCCTCTCGAGACGCTCCGCTTCCTCCTTCTGAAAGCGCTCCTCCCGAAGTCGCTCCGCCTCTTCTTTTCGCCGAGACTCCTCCTCCTCTTTCTGACCCAAAAATACAGGTGTATAATTATACGACTATGAACCTAATGGAATACTAATGAATGTCGTACCAGTTTGAGCATCTTTTCAGTCTCTTCCCTCTCGCGCTTTAGTCGCTCCTCTTCCTCTTGCCGCTCCTCTTCCTCTATCCTCCTCTTTTCCTCGGCTTGTCGCTGTGCCTCGTCTTCTCTGCGAGCTCTTTCCTCAGCCTTTCGACGAGCCATCTCCTCTTTAGCCAGTCTGTGCATCAACATTAAATACATTTTAAACTAACTGTGGGTTGTGGGTTCCTTCTGTACCCTGTGGTTGTGTATCTTACCGGGCCTGCTCCTCCTGCCGCCTGCGCTCCTCCTCCTCTCGCTCCCGCTGTTCTCGCGCTTGTCGCCTCTTTTCCGACAGAATGCGACTGGCCTCTTCTGGATCTGTGGTGCCCGCGCTGGTCTTCTGAGGCGGAGGGCTGCCCACCGTCTCTATTGAATCAGAGCAGCACCAAATCAAGACTCCAATTCAATCTCTTTTTTTGTATAGACCTAGACCAAAACAGCAGTCGGACTTTATGAAGATTCTCTTTACAGATCAGAGAATCAAACGGCATTAATCAACTCCATCTTGGGAATCAAACTGTGACTGTATGTCCATGTTTGTTTTTTATAATTGTGATTTTACAAGTCAAAATAAATCTCAGGACCCCGGGAGAATGTTTTACAATTGCAAAAATGCATCCACAATAACAATCTAAGGATAAAAAAATAAAAAAAAAGTGTTTAGTCAAAGTTAAGTTAAATGTTTATTATCCCCATAAGAAAATGTATCCTTTGCATTTGACCCATGCTTCAGCTCCACTTGGACCTCTGTCAGGAGCTACAGCGCTTAAGGACCCATATCCAGATGTTTGATGCTCGGCTTGGTCAGGACCAGAGCTGGAGGATTTTGACGATTGCACATGTTTTAGTGGTATGGGAAACCAGAGCACCCGGAAGAAAACCACGTAGACGAGGGGAGAACATGCAAACTCCCCTCAGAAAGGCCCTACCTTTTCTGGTACTTCCTAAGTACCAGAAAAGGTAAAGAAAAATTAAGTAGTAATGGAAATTATTTGTATATGAAACGTGCTCTATAAATAAAGTGGATTGCACTGAATTGAACGGTGGAGTAAACGACAGAATACCTCAGTTTTAAAGTTTGTTAAGAATTGTTAAAATGTGACAATATGTAACATTTCAGGACAAGAACATAATTTGCTCTTCTTGGAAAGTTGTTTAATTTATAAGTTTCTTTCCTGCACAAAACCAGCAACAATCTGACAAAGTGCTCCATGACAAACCAGAGTGTGGTTAAAGAAAACCCTCCAACATTCTACATGTAGTTTGTCCACTTGACTGACCCGTTTGTGTGGCCTCTGCCGGTTCTGAGCTCGCCTTGTTCTGACCCAGCGGCTGCGGCCTTGGCTGTGAGGGACTGAGGAGCTCTTGTTCTTCCTGGTCCAGTGTGACTTTCAGTGGACGCACATTTCCAGGGTCGTCCGCCTCTGGCGATTTGAGCTGCTTCGGGGTCGGGGGCCGCAGCGGTGACTTTTGCGGATGCCTGAAATCCAATTAAGCAACAACAACAAAAAAAACATGATTTTGTTGTATCAAAAGCTTCTGTGATGGCTGTTGTTCACCCACCTGCCAGGAGAGGGTGCTGTGACTTTACTATTCCTCTTTGCTAGAGTGGAGGGGTACTTTTTGGGAGGTAGAGAGAGAACAGGCGTCAAAGGGAGTGACAGGTTGGTCCAGGACTTCCGCACTCCATCATGGTCTTTGTGCTGTTTGAATAGATAATAGACAGACAGACAGGTAAAACATGTATTCATTATTAGCCTTGGTCTCTGTGTTTCTAGAAATATCATCTTTAGCACATTTTGAATCAGTTGAAGTAGTCAGAGTGTTGTTGGTCAGTAATGGGATTAGACTTGGACTTGACCCGACATTAAGCAGCAGTCATTAACATTACAGACCAAGGTGTTGCCAAAACTAAGCAACCTGCTAATGTCATTAACCTTGTGAACTCAATTTGACCCCTTTTAAATATGTATGACCAGTGAATGTTTAAGTTTTTATGTTGCACAAACTCTCACCTGACCCTAACCCTTATATTAAACCTTAAAATAAACCATTGTGACAACTTTGCAAACAGGGACGGATTAGGAAGCCTACTGAAGAAGAAGAGGCTCTTCCATGGACATGCTTTGATTTAACTAAAATGCCTCACACACATCACAGTGGTTAGCACGCTCGCTTCTCAGGAAGAAGGTCCTAGGTTCGATTCCACCTCCAGGAGGGGCTGTTCTGGAGAGCGGACTTTGTCTGGAAAGGTTTGGTTTCCCCTACCACTAAAACATGTACAATAGTTCCCATTTCTCTGGGGCCAGGATTCCCCGGACAAAAAGATTCTCAGACGGACTTTCCTGGTTAAATAAAAGTCAATAAAAATAAATACTTTTGTTGATCTTGGAGACAGTAATCCTCAAACATTACTTTTCATTCTTTTCTTTCTGTCAGCTCCATTTGACAATCCTCATGAAGTTATTTGTTATAATTGCTCCTTCATTCCAAAATTATATCTTCCGGATTTAGCGGAAATTAGAAATCGTAAAAATCAAAAATATTGACAAAAGCTGGGGTACCATTTTTGTCCTTACAACATAATATCTTCTTCCCACGTGAAACATATAATATTAATGGGGGAAAAGTTAGGTTACCCAGATTTAACTTCATAAATATACCTTTTGCAAAACAAATATGACAAATTCTTCACCTGTGTGTGTGGGGTTCCAGTGGTCTTCCTCCGGGCAGCAGCAGCTGAAGAGGAGGTGGTGCTCAGGTTGCGGTCCTGGCTGCGGCAGTGGGGAAAGGGTTGGGACTGGATGGACTTGAAGGACACGGAGCCCATGGGGTGACAGGACACTGAGCGGGGGCACACAGGCAGGGCTACTGTCATGTATGAGGGGCAATGGAACAATTTGGGATAGGCATCACAGGAATTTGTGCACGGGAAAAGAAATGTCAGAGGGGAGAAAAACAGGCAAGTGATAAGGGAAAGATGTTGAGGAGGATGAAGGTGGATTGGAAAGAATAAAGAGCACAAGACCTTTAGTTCATGGATATTGGAGATTGACGAAAGCTTAGGACGGAACAAAGAATAAAAAGGAACCAAAAAGTAAATATATTACCCATGGTAAAAACAGACTCGTCTCAACTTGACCTGTCATGTAGGGCTTTTAGACGTTTCATTGATTAATTGTTTGATAGGGTCTTTGTCATCCAAAAGTTGCATGAGACAACCAATGGTATGTATATTAAGGGTTATGAAACAGTGAGCTGTTCTGAACAAGAGCTGCTCGTTTATAGATGAAATAATAATGATAATAGTTGTGATAATTAAAACAATAAAATAAATGAATATATATATTGTTCAAACTAATATTTTGAACAATAAAAAAAAAGTATAAGCACATTCTGAAGACAAATTAATGCTTATTAAGTATGTGACTATGTGTAACAAATACTGATATATACAATTATTAAGTTACAAAGAACCTGGGAAAATATTATATAGAAATATGCTTGTGCCATTTTTCATGGCGTGGAGTGTAATAATTAAAATTGTTACTGAATTTTGATTCAAGGCCTAACCTAAATCTGGCATTGGCATATATAAAAAATCAGATCAAGTTCTTACAAAATACACTCAAGGGATAAATGACTAATTGCATTCTGTACAAATACATACTAATTCATTGTTCTAGTTGCAGTTTCGGGGGAGTTTCGGCACAGCTCTGGTTTAGTGGACTGAGCGATCCCTTCTGTCGTGTGCCGCATGGATGCAGATTATGCACGGCTTAGTGAACAGTGTACACATATTTGTGCGTTTAGGTGCCTGACACTGAGCACATACATTTACAGACAGTGCCATGAGTCCGTAAATCTGATTATGAACCCCAGGACGACCTGCCACCAACAACAAACAGCTACAGAGCATATTCCTGGGTTCTGTGGTCATCTTACCGGTGGCGGCGGTCTGCTCTCCGGATAGGCTCATGGCACTGCGGCTCCGGGCCAGGTACGAGTGCGTGGGCTGCTGCAGGCGGTTCACCATGTTACTTTCCCATGGAGACAGGGGAAGACGCCGCATACCTAGAAAAAACAGATGCGACGCTGATGGGAACTTTTCATCCCACACAAAAAAACTAATTTTCATTTTTTTGTAAGCAGCAATGTTCCCCAGCCATGCACTTAAATCTATGTGTGATCATCCAAACAAACATGCAAAAGTAGAATCGCAGTCATGAACTCATTTGCGAATTGCATGCAAGGTTTCTCGGGAGATTGTTTGGGATTTTTGCCGTTTTTTAACGATTGTGGCGTTCTCATGCTGCGTTGCTCACTTCAGTGCAGGGTATTAAGTTACAGGTGCTAAGCAAATATATGTTAACTGTAGGCGAGAAACTGTCTGGTTTTGCTATTTTGATATTCAGATTACTTTCCCCATCGCCCACTAAGACCAAGAACAGTATATCTTTGCATTACTGTGAAATTACTAATTATTTGATCAGATGTCTTTCAGATGGACCAAAGTGGCAGTCCCCACAAAAACAAAGAGATTATCCCCCGAGGATTAGAGAAAGGGGTCACGCTACAGTGAGAGATTTCTGATCCTTCTCATGAAATACTAGCGCTAACACATGATACTGTAACAAAGTGAAGTCTGCAGAACGAGCAACTCATATATCAGCGGCGGATAGAAGGCGGCGGTGGTTTGCAGCTCAATAACCGTTTGCATTCAAGCATGATTTGCACAATAACGTCAGGAACGACCTTTACTTCTGTGCTGTGGGGCCTTCCCGTGGCTGAGGCGTGGTTTGGACCGAGCTTTGCTAATGACTGGTGTGGAGGTAGTTCTCAGCTGTAAACCTGTCGAGGAATACGTGAGCTTTTGTGTGACATTTAAGGGACACTATGTAACTTTGCTGGTGTCTTGGCTCTGACTGGATTTTCAAGTAGGCATTAAACAAATAGGGCATTATTAAAGCTCGGGGATATAACTTTCAAAAACTAACAACAAAACAGGAAAGGATTTGGAGTATTTTAGTGATGTGACATTCAGACCTCTATGCAAACTTTGTCAGGGCATCTCTTCAAACAGTTTACTAATATTACAAATGTTCTTATGCATGTGTTCTATGGTCTCAATGACATTTTTCACCCTGAAAAGAGACAGCATGTTGTGGTCTGAAAAGTAAGGTACCCCAGCTTTCAGGTCTAAAAATGTACTGTACTGAAAATAAGTATCCAAAGTCTAAGGAGACCCTCAGGATGTAATGTGACTTTCCAGACAAAGCAACAGGTGAAATGTCCACCAGAATAAGTTACATAGAGGATCAAAGTATCTATACAATTGAAAATACACAATTTACACGTCAAAACTATGACACACAAAACCAAAGCAGAACAACAGTAACTTACAGATGCAGAGAGATTGCATTACCTCTGTCTGGTGAATGCAGCAGTGTGGCAGAGGAGGAGGAGAGGCGCTTTGTAATGACAGGGTCAGTGTGTTTGGACAAGTTCATAGTGGACACTGATCTTCTGTCAATATCTACAAATGCAGAAGACTGTCAATGAGACTCACACATTCAATGCTCACAAAAGAAATAAACCTGTATTCAAGATTTGACGACAGTTCATTGCTTTCCTGCAAGTCTTCAAGTGGAATGAGATCCTGAGCTAACATTACAATAACATGTATTTTCTGTATTGTGACTTGAACGGAGCCAATACAAATGTAAGTAAGTCAGCTGATCTCTATATTTATAAAACTATTTTCACAGATTGACTGTCACACATTTCAATTTGTGTATATCCTTTCTTTATAAGGCATTGTAGCCACAGCTGTCCTGGGGCACAGACAGAAGTGGGGCTGCCAATAGTGCCACCAGATGTTCCAACCCCCAATCACACGCTGTATTCATAGTTAGCGATGTAGGTGAAATGATTATGCCTTTGTTCAGTGGCATCTGGTCTTCGCAGTGATCCTCCATACAGGTACTGTGGGGAACCTAAGCAAAGTTTTTTTGTGTAAAAATATTCTCTTTGTTACCATTGTGGCATCAAAATAGGTATCAGGCCTTTTATTTAACACTGCATCACACAGGATCTAATTGCAGAACACTTGGAAGACTTCCATGAATGCTTTGAAACAGAAAAGTGTACATTAGACTAAAAGGGCTCTGGGTTAACACTGCTGCATAACTTGGACACACTGTATTGAAGTTATTGCATTGAAGTTATTGCGCAATTTTAAAAACCGTTACAACTAAAAAGGGGGAAAACGTGTTAGTATATTAGAAATGTAATTATATACTGTATCTGTAAAAATGACAAAAGTGCCTACATCTACATTATGAACACAAGCCAGAGAGACGAGCCTACAGTCCTACCACCAGTTACAGAGCTAACACCAGCATGCTAGCACTGGCAAGCTAACGTTGACTATCATATTCACATTTAGAGGTCATCCCATATCTGTGGAGACCCTGAGCACCATGCATGTGCTCCAGTCCAGCAAGGTCGAGCGGACAGAGAAAAGCTGACTCGACAAAACCTGCACCGGGAATTGTAGGGTTAACAGGAGAGAGACAGAATGGAGCATGAGTCAGCAAAATCAACAGAGCGACATGAAATAATACAAAAAAGTTCAAATACATTCAAAACAATGCCGGCACGCACAGACAAGTACATATTTACTCAAGAGCTCCTAGACATCAAGCATGGGGAGGTATAAAGGGGAGAGCGTGCGTACCAGGTGCTGTGCTGGGTGTGTTGGTGGTCAGGGCCCCTCCCCACGACCAGCGGTTTGCCTTCGGTCGGGCTCTTTGGCTCCTCTCCACTGTGCGCCGCATCACTGCTTCGTGTCGAGCCTGCGGAGGAAACGGCAGCCGTGCAATTCATGTACAGACATACTATAACAATGTCAATCAGGCACGTCACAATCCGGCCCACGAGACAATTCATAGTGGCCCCTATAATGATTTTCAATTATTGTCAATAACTTGCAGCATTGATGTTTGGGCTACCGAGGCATGTTCTACATCATGCATTTGTCTCAAGAAAAAAAAAAAAAAGTAACACATCCTTGTAAGTGAAATAGTTAAGTTAGTATTTGGTCCAGTTTTTTTTTTTTATTCTAAACAATAAAACACATTGAAAATTCCCAAAAAAAAATCAACCTGAAAAAAAGTCATGTCAAAATACCCCGACCAAAATGAGTTCGACATCCCTGATCTAAATGATAAGAACAACAGCTCTTGCCACAACTTATCCCGGAAAAGTTTGTGCCATTTTTTATTTTATTTTTTTTAGAGTGAAGCCAAATCTGTTCTGGTCCACTTAGGTTCAATCAACTGAAAAATGGCTGGAATGTGTTGCAACACTAGTTTAGAAGAACAAAAACACAGGCAGCCTTGGATTGAATCACAAAAAGACTTGGGTTCATTGAGTAAGCAAATTATCCAGGCTCTATTGTCACTAAACAGCATAAGTCATATTTTATTTCCAATCTAAATGTTTTACTGTTTTCAGTTTACTAAAAATTACTAAATTCATAATCCACAAATGTCATCACAACTCATTGCTTAAATTCTTTCAACCAATTGAACCGATAGTTGCACCACTATGTAAAGGTTTTGGAGAAAGACATGAGTTGAATGTTGTGTCGATTTTTGTGTCATCTGAACTGGGCAAAAACCAGGAGCCTAATCCGCATAGAAATTCTTCAGTGTAAATAGAAGGCAACACAATGGCAGAGTGGTTAGCTTCTCTCTCAAAGCTCAGGAAAATGCTATGGGATTGATACCGGGAAAGGACCTTTCTGAGTTTGCATGCTCTACCCGTGTCGGAGAAGGTTAGGGTCAAGTTGGATCTATGCAATGTTGTTGTATGAGACTGTATAATGCCAAATAAAATAACTAATAGCTGGAGTATAACTTTTTTTTATAACTTATAAATTTTTGTTAGTCCCAACAGAAGTATTGTAAATGTAAAATCAGACCACAGCATGCAGTCTTTATCTTATTAGAAAGGCTAAAAAACAAAATTTCACTCTTCAAGCTCTAAAAAGGTCAGAAGCACATGAAAACAAATTATATTATTACTATACAATATGTTTGCACACTTGCAAGAAAGAGTCTTGTGAAAGTCACCATTTGACAGAATGCTTTTGAGAGCGGATTAGCCGACCAAGAGTGGCCTTCTATTTGTCACATCAGCTTTTTCAGGCAGGAACGAGGAAGACGGCAAGCATATATGCATGTGAAAACTAGTGATAGAACCAAACTGGCCAAAGAGCGAGAAACTATTTAGATGGAGTTAAAGCTTGGGTGGATTTTATAGAATCCATGTCATGATGGCATGTGAACGCATGTGAGTAAATACGCCCATACAGAGGGGCAAAAAGTATTCTGAAAATATTTTCTGGCTTTTTTCCCCCCCTGATTTTGTCTCTCATATTTGAAGTATAATAGTTACCTCTGTGCATTAGAGAAGCTCCTTAATTGGAGGTTTTTAAATCAAGCCAAAAGACACATTTCTACGCCTTGGCTTAAAAATGTGTTGTTAAATGTGTTAAAAATATGCATACATTGACATTGTACCTATGACAAAAATTACAGGCATCTCTCATCATAAGTGGGAGGACTAAACACTTTCTTGCCCCACTGTATAGGAGAACGGGGTTTGGGTGTGAACCTTGTCCTCCTCCATCTTCTGCCGTCGCTTCTCCTCCACAGCGGCGCGCCTCCTGTCCTCCTTCTCCCTCTGCTCCTCCATCTTCCTCCTCCTCTCCTCCTGGTGCCTCTCGTAGTGCTGCCGGGCCCGCTCCTCCCGCGCCTGCCATGTGGCCTCCTTCACCGCTGAGACACACAGAACAGTCACGTGCAGAAGGCCACATGTGCTTAGACTTTTGTACAATGGTAATAATCACAATAACAACTGTGCACTGGGCTTGGAGCGGGCGAGAGCGGCGGGCAGCCCGGGTCATGTGACTCAGCTTAGCGCAAAAACAAACAGCCCTCTGAAACATTATGGGAAATTATTTAAATTCTGTTCTATATTTTTACATGCAAGTCATGTCATTTTTTCCTTCTTTAAAATGTGAATAAACGATAATAACAGCAGCTGTAGCAGCAATTTGCTTTTCAGAACAATTTTGGAAATAACTTATTACTTATTTATAGATTAGGGTTAGATTTTTGTTTTTGTTGAACAGGATTCTCGTTACAGGTCCATAGTAAGAATAGAGGACAAAATACTTATTTAACCAATACCTATTGATTAGCAGACATAAAACATGCAAAAGTACGTTTGCTTTTGTCTATGTAATATTTTAGTCAACAACAAAAATGACAACCTTTATCGAAATATTAAGTGGTAGCACAAGAATCACATGGATTTAATTGTAATTATGAGCAAATAGCGAGCGTTAACGCATGTAAACTGTTACATATCAGAATACTAATAGAAAAAGTGGATTACCATATTTTGATAAACTTGCACTTAGTAAATCTATTACTAAATCATATCAGCAGCTGTTTTGGGAGGACTTTAAAAAGTCAAATACAGGAAATGCAATAAAAACAAACACATAGGAGCCATTTTTGGACATTGGTCATCCTTCCATCCTAATGTCCATCCTAACATCCATAAATGTTAATAAATGTACATAGATGCCTTTAAACGTCCCGGATCATCACTGAGACCAACGTGACATGTTTATTAACATGAGTAATATGAGGCTAACCATATAGCCTCATATAACTCATGGATCTGTGCAGAGGATTGCCTCTGCAGATCCTAAACCGTGTCCATGTCCTTCACTGTTACATAATAGCGCCATGGCAACAGCCGTGCCAGCCTCAAGCTTGACTTTTATGCAACTGAAGCAACAGGCTCCACTCCGCAGCCAACGAGCGGCAACTTTATAAAATCACGTACAAGATGCTTCACAATTCACAGAACTTTGTAATGCTCCCATTTTGCTGATTTTTACTATGAAATAAATGTGACTCTTGTGTTACCACTTAAAAGACTCATTGCTCAACTGCCCTGGTGGCGAGCTGCTTTTGGTGAAGCTGTCCGGTTCTTGCAATAGACATAATATTTCTTTGCTTGAACTGTTGCTCAGTTTGGTCTATAACATGTATAAATTCCTCAAATATGGATTATTTTTAGGTCTGTCAGTCTTTGGTTCGTTTGTATATATTCAATATATATAATTAACTCTAAGGATTTCTAAGGGAAACACGAGACAGCATGGAGTAAATTAGCTGAAGATTTTTTATTTCCAAGAATTTATTGGCTCAACTTCAGCCTAAATTATTACAATGCTGTATTTTCATTTTTCCCTTGTGAGAAGACTCGCCTCTTTGGAATAAGACTAAAAAAATTAAATTGTAGGGGGCGCTATTCTACAAAGTAAAAGGCACCGTTTGCACATACAAAGTCGGATTTACACAAAATTTTAAACGTTTGTTCAACTTTTGGGTTTGGGTAAAGTTCAAAATTGTACATACTTAGTTTTTTCAAAATGTTTGAAATGAATCCAAACAGAAAGCAGACCCATCACCAGGACAGATAAGTAATGCACCTTTAATATTTGAATCAACTGGAAAAAAAACACAGCTATTAATACAGACCATTCTGCTTCTCGCGCTCCTCTCTGCGCTCTCGGGCCAGCCTCAGCCTCTCATCGATCTTGTTGAAGAGCAAGGAGTCTGCAGCACATTCAAATATGATTATAAACAACTTTATTTAAGACAAACACGAGAGGAGGCGGAGGGATGCGTCACTCTACCTGTTTTGGCAGCAGCGCTGTTGGACGGGCTGTTGCTGGTGTTGACGGTGGGGGTGGGGGTGAGGGTGAGGGTCAGGGTGGGAGAGTATGTTTGTCCGGAGCCAGAGGAGTCGGCCCGGGCGGCTGAGGATGGTCTGTCATCCTCTGATTTGTACTGAGAGGCTGGAACAGAAAGACTACTTTTCAGAACACTGCAAGGAGTCGTCTTTCGATTTCTCCCTTTTTAACTTTTTAAGGTCATTTGCACTGTGTGTGTGATGTTTACTTTTTCTGAGGACAAAAATAATGACATAATATTCTTGTACCGTGCATGAACCAAAGAAATTAAGGAGTACTGTGTATAGTTTGTACAAAATCTTTCCAATTCAGCACCTGGTCTTGAGAGAGGAGTGTATATTTATAGCAATAAAGCATTTATGACTTTCTGGGTAAAGGCACAAATAACAGTTGCTTAGAGAGAGAAAAAACTGTATAGCATCTTGTTTATTTTATGTTATACTTTTTGAAAAATATAGGTGAAAAACTAAAACTTGTACTTAAAATACAAAAATCTAAATGACCAGGGTCTTGGATTTTTGTCTCTCTTCATCTCAGTTATGTTTGCTTTTACTCAAACAAAACCGCTTTCCTTGTATCTTAAAATTGAAACCCCATGTTGAAGTTAGAAAGAAATATTCATAATGCAGTGCACCAGAAAATGAAGGGGTGCACACCTTTCTCTGCTGCAGTACAAGCAGCTGAGTTCGGCCCACAATCATTAGTCCAGCTGTGCTCCTGTTCAGTCCATTGTTTCCAGTCAAGTGCAGTGCTCCCACTCAGAGAGAAAAGTATTGATTAATGGAACCATGGGGCTCAGTGTGACTCAGCACTTTAGCACAGACATTCTAACAGTAAAGGCTAAACACATCAGGGCTCTAAAAGCTGGTGCGACTGGGAAAGACCCCTTATTCAAGTTGAAGGAAACAGAATGTGTCCAAAGTGAAGGATTCCAAGATAATGACTCAACAAGCTTTTTCAAGATACAAGTGTATCCCCACTCATCTGCTCATAACTATTGTGTTAATAGAAGAGTGGCACATTACTACAAAATCGATTTCAACATAACTTCCATAACCGAGTAACCTTCTCATTCATTACAATAGGAAACCAAATTGCCCGAATGACCCATTACTTTCACTAGCAATAGTGAGATGTTCAACAAAGGGCAATGAGTGTGCCTATTTACGGCTGAGAGGGGGCCAAAAGAACCACTACACATGCTGATCCAAATGAGAAAGCCAAGGAAAATGCCTTTAAGCCAAAAGTGTTAGCCAATTCTTACTTAGCTACAAGAAAGAGTGTTTCAAAGTTATTAGTTACAGGGTAACTGATAAGGTACTTTTAAACATTGAAAAGGTGGAGTCCAACCTGTCATATTGACTTGGTGGCCTTTTCTTACCAGTCCAGTGACATGTTAGTTTAGTCATAGAAGTATTGATACTGTTGACACAAGATGAGAACAAAGTACAAGTGGTGTATCTAATATGAGCATGTGAGAAAATATTTACAGAAGGCGTGATGTCATGGACACATACAAGGTCAACCCACGGAGGGACCACATACTGGATATTGTTAAAGAGGACTAAAAGCGGCACGATTAAGGGGACAGTAACAGTATGCAAGATTTTAGATTTATATTTCAAATTACATTCAGGACACAAGGATAACGTGTGGCTTTTTCTTATTTATTATTAAAAACAAATGAACAATGGACATGACCTGCCACATTATTAATTTTAAAACCGAAACCATACATGACATTTGAGTTACCAGTATAGCTGGTGAATCCAGCTGGTAACCTTGTTAGCAGTGTCCCTGCATGTGTGTGTTTAACATGCTACGTCGACAAAGAATGGTTTAGATGTGCATGTAGAAACATTTTACAAATGCACAAGAACTGAAAGAAGAACTACATTTTGTTCTCATCATCAGCTCCTGTGACATTTAGATTCAGCTAAACACACAGTAAATAAGCCTGAGGTGTCAGAGAGGCGCTTTCACTGCATCGTAGTCTTAACTGGGCCAATCCCCTGAAAAGAGCTGGGAATGCTCTGGTGCACACGAGATGAGACTGTTACCAAACTTCAACAGTCTGGAAAAGTGTGGAGCGGTTACGCCTCTCTGCACCGGGCAGAGCAAAGAAAGCATGTCTCCAAGCCCCAAACACAGACCATTACTGCCATCTGCCAATAAAACCTTTTATCATCTACCTCGATATTGATGCAATAAAAAGCAGCATGGATCATAAAAAAGCTCCTTCCATTATCGTCGTTGGTCAGCTCAGCAGGTTTACTTTAACACATCAACAGCTGTTCAACCACCTTTGCAAACACTAGGATCGTGTCTCATACTGCATCAGTAAAAACACCCACCTCATAAAGCGCCCATAGGAGGCCGCATACACAATAAAATATGATTACCATCCTAACTTAAAGTGGACATTTCAAACTATGTTTCAATAAAGACAATTCAAGGCAACCTATATGAAGAGGATAGCTGGAATGGCAAAGTTTTACCTGAACTTTTCTCTCGAAATTCAGGAACATCATCCCAGAACCGGACATTGAATTTCTGGCTCATGTCCTGCTTTGACTTGTCAAATTGGAGGGCCTGAATCCACGCGTCCTTTTCCTGGTAGCATCCTTTACTACCAAAAGATAAGCTATAATCCAAAGTCCATGGTTTGGAGATGGTAGAGCTAAAGGCAAGAAATGATTCTGGGGGCTCAAGGCTCCAGTGGAGGGTCAGCAGTCATGACCCTGGCTGTCAGTGCTGAGGAGCGTCACTGTGGCGGTGTGGGACAGGTTGATTTGTGTATGTGTACCAACAGACAGACATTGGGACAGTGTTTAATCTGCCCCTCCCTTTCTGAGCCGCTGCATGTCTATGTCCTGCTACCCCCCCATCCCCCTCATCCCTCCACATTCACTCGCTCTCAGATTAAACGGTCAGAGTTAGCGATTAATGCTGGGTACCAGAGCAAAGTGTGCTCCTCCATGAAGCCTGAGAGGATTATGGCCAAAGCTAATGCTAAGCTAAAGGCTGAGCTTGAGTCAGCACCGAGGTAAAGAGGCTGAAGTCTTTGTTTTATGGCTGCAGGACCGAGCTGGAGGGCTAAACAACAGGTGACCACACAACATCACTGTGTGTGTAAGTGGAAAACAGCCAAAAGACAACAACTCAAGATGAGAATTCTTCACTACAGACTTGTGATATTCAGTGCCACTTAAGCTCAGGCCTCTGTCCAGTTCTTTCCCATGATTTATAGTGAGCAACACACTACATCATTATTTGTCCATTGAAATACTAATGGTCAAATTGGTTTGTCATTTCAAAACGCTCAAAAAGGCACTTAACACACACATACACACACACACACAGTGTAACTGGGAGACACTGGGAGCAAGGTGGGGTTGGACTTGCCCAAGGATACAACAGCGGATCTGACAGCTCTACATGTTACATTTCTGTGTTACTATACTTTGTAGTGTAACACGTCACGTAACTGTATTTAAATAGGGAACACGTGGAAGAGTTTGGTAGCTTCTAACGGGAATTGATTTGTTACTATACAGTATGTGGAAAAGGCTGCGTTTGTGCTCCGTTTGCATGACAGAGCGCACGGACAAAGACCAATTTGAGGCACAAATTTAATTAAGTCTTAAGTTTTCATTAGACAATTTTTCTTGAATTATTCCATTCGTTGTTAAAAACTTGATAAACACCAGATAAAACTGAAGTGAAGCCAGTTAAGGATATCCAAACTGTGGACCGAGTTGAGGTGACTCAGGCATCCGTTTCAGATGCTTCCTGAAGGATCTGCTCAGATTGCTTTCTCCACGACCTGGCAACATTTAAGGTAGAAGATAATTGATGGATGATCTTCCATAATATTCATGTCGACATAAAAATCACTATTGGCTGTTTTAAAGCTGGTTTAAATTTTCATCATTTGAAAATCTAAGTACACTGAGGTAAGCTAACCTTTGTCTAACTTTGTAACAAATACGTATTTAAAAGCAACAGTAACTAACATCAAAAACCTCAGCAGCAACAGCAGTGGTGCGAAGATGTGCTCCGCTCTGCAAAGAGGACCGTGGGCTGTGAGCTTCCAGTTCTGGAGGTTCTTTATAAATCCAGACTTTTAAACAAAGCTCTTAGGATTGTCAATGACTCTTCTGGCCACCCTGGAAAAGCCATGTTCCAGCTTCTTCCCTCTGGCAGAAGATATCGTTCTCTGAGATGCAGGACATCTCGTCATGCTAAAAGCTTTTTTCCACAAGCTGTTATCAGTTTAAACAGAGCACTTTAAAACAGTTTCAAAACAAGTGCAAATCATTAGTCGATCGATTTCACAGTGACACTTGTTTACTGTTTTATAGGTTTTATTTCTGTGTTTGTCCGTGCACACTGGAGACTTTTTGCAAATGTATTCCAATGTGGGTTTTATTACTGCAAATGGCAAATAAACTTAATCTGAATCTGATGATTCTACTGGTGGTACACATAACCTATTTTCAAAGTAATAATACTATTTTTTTGTTTTACTTTTTTGTAATGTTATTACAATTAAAAATGTATAACTTTAAAGTACTTTAAAGTAACTTGCCTAATGCTGGTCCCTACACCCCTGATTGCGACCTTTAGAGGTAGACTATTGATTCAGACGTTGTTTCTCTCAGTTCTCCAGAGCTGTGACTGACGCGGTGCTTACTGAAGCATTTGGACACATATGAAGAGGACAGTTCTCTGCTTGGTCAGCTGCCTCCTCTTCGCACCCGTCTGTGGCTGCATCAGGATCCACTTCACAAACACCACATGATCCAGTATGGGTTCAGAGGATAACTCTAATATGAGGTAAACAGCTTTGAATGAGCATCTTGTTGAGTTAAAGACAACGTGCGCCGACAGGTTTTTGCAGTTTAGACATACCACGTGCATCACTGTCATTTGCCTTTTCCTTCACAAACGTCTACTTCTTTGCAAGAGATCGTTTTCTTTGACCCTCCATGTACTTGTAAAATACATTATATACTGTCTAATGGTGCCTGGACTTCTGTAACATTTCTATATTTATCATCTATGCTAAAGAGAACCACTACTTTCATCAAATCCATTATGTCCCACTGATGGTTTTTAATGATTTATGGCTCAATAACCTCCCTAACTGCTCCAACAAGTCATACAGAACCAAAAGCATGGCTGAAGTATGCCCCAGAGCCCATGCCTGTCCTGTACCTCTCTTCCTCCTGATGCAGGCCTTCTTGCGTCTGTGTCCCTCCTCTTCCTCAGTGATGGTGAAGAGAGCTGGGACGGCTGATCGACTGCCTGCCTTCCTCAGCCTCCACTTGCCTTGATCCTTTGCAGCTGGTCCTCCTCTTGCTTTCACTTTTTTACTTTCAGGCATTGCCAACACTTAACGTGGACTGCGAACCATGGAGCGACTGGCTACCTTGCCTGACCTCGGACCATCCCACCTGCAGCAGCGCCACGGGGGGCTCAGGGCAAATCGCTGATGGTGGTGGATAGAGTCACCCCTAAAGCATTTAAGTTACTGCAGTACATCCCAGCTGCCTCGAGTCAGCAAAAAAACAAGCAGCTCCTAAAACAATGTTGAAAGGCAGTCAGTGTACAGCTCCATACCCCTGTGGCATCAGTACAGAGGGAGGATGCTGCGGTCTCACACCGGATGAGCTGCTGTGCTGTGGCTTACAAACACACTCGTAATCCACAAAACCGGCTTCATGAGCGCAGGATTTCCCTCCTCGTCCTAAGTCTCCCTCCTTCTGTGATGCTGCATCCTGCTCCCCTCTGCCGCTGTCCTGTTACACACTTGCACTATACTTGTGTACTGCACATAGGGGGTGAGCTGTTAAAATATTCATTCAGAAAGAAATGGTCCGGAAGCAGAGGTGGTTTCCCTGACGACAGCGCTCATGGACCACTGAAGAGGGCACTTTGATGTAATGCACACACTTGTCACTGGGATGAGCCAGAGAACAGCAGATCAAACATTGCAGCACTAAGCTGGCACTGCTGGGGGGGCGTGGCCATGGAGCACATGCTACTTAGCTCCTCCCAGTCCCGTTTCAAAGTGCAAAGAGGTCATCACAGGGGGACGGGGAAACCTCATGTGAAGAGGCAACAACACATTTAGACAAAAGTATATCAAGCTTATTGTGGTATGTCAGCGGTGGACATAATTGTTTCTACTACACCACCATGTCAACAATATAATAATAATACTAATCAATACTCAATTATCTAATACCATTATTTTATAGAAAATCCAAAATATTGACTTTATTACACCAGGAAGTTTTGTATTGGTTCGGATATACCCTAAATCCTTAATAGCAAAGTAAAGGTTTCTGTGTGCCTGTTTTTGTATCCTCACAATAATTTTGACTAAACCTATCATGTGACTCAATGGATTACCAACAAAAATAGTTAAAAAACGGCAGATAAAGTCAGTCATTACTTACAGGTTACAATGTCACATGACTCTTGCTAGTGTCTTACTAATGAAAGAACAAAGGAATACAAACAAAATCTGGTAAATATGTCAGAGAAGCGAGAGCACTGTGCAGAAACTGTCCTGGAGCCACTTCCACACCTACTGTACTTTTCCCGCCTAAAGAGTTAAATTACGTATCCAATCATGAGTAGTGCAGGGGGGTTGGTAGTGCTCTTATCTTCTAAATAGAATACTTGTGCACCATATATGCATATTGAGCTTTTCTGATTAAAAATGTAACATGTGTATTCTGAAATAGAAATCAAATGGACCAAATATATACATTTAATATAATAGTTTCCAAGCAGATTCTCCGGTTACTAAGCGTAAGTATCACATGATTGATTGAGCTCCAGTTTCCTAGGGGAAATCCAGCTGGTTTGGTCTCTACCTTAACCTGCGTTAGTGAATCAGATATAATGACTATGTTAAACCAGAAATTGAAATGCAACTGTTCCTTTCTCTTCCAGATCCGATTACTGATGTGGTCCAGCAGCTGGGGTTTGGGCAGTGACCAAATCAGCTGGATTTCACCGATGAAACTCATGTGGTGCCAATTCTTATGTCTTAAACAACACCAAGATAACATGTTAATCACGTCCATTGTTTTTGTGAGAATAAATCAGCATTCACTCAAAAATTATCTTATGATTGGATGAATATTATGACTAAAAATTTCAAGCTAAACAAGTATACATAAACAAACACTTTGTTTAACAATTAGACATATTGGGAACATACTGTACCTCGTCTGTACTGGAAGTTTCCAGTTTTACACTAAATGGGATATAATGGCATTTGCTATGTCTAATTGTTGCATCGCCCATGGGAGTACACATTGTGCAAATACATTCATGAAAGGGCAATCCGATCTTTGTCCCTGCAGGATAGTGTAATGCTGTAATCCTACACTCAGGACTTTAACCAGATATGGCTCCCACTACACGCCCTTCTCACACCTTCTCAATGAGTGTGTGAGCGACGCAGGTTTAAGGGGATATCTCCTGATTCATGGAGGAAAATCTACCAACAAAAGAGCTCAAGTCGATGCAAAAGTAGCTTGAGGATATGCAGACAGTTACACCACAAATAAGGGTGGCACCAAATCATGCTGATGCAGCCACGAAGGCACTGAAGCAATCAAATACCTGTGCTAATCAAGATTATGAGCAAGAACAACCTAAAGCAGCTATAAGCCCTTATTTACCTTTGTTCTAATCAGCTGATAAAAGCTTTCATAGAATAAACATTTGCTTGTATAACAGGTGAAGTCTGTTGTTCTGTGTTCAATTCAAATATGTAAAGCTCCTCGAATTATACGAATCAAACATCAAAGTGTACACTAGACAGTTTTAAACATATATCAATATCATATAGCATAAAATCATGTTTTGTTGAGATACCTTATATTCTAAACTCATTTGAATTAGATTTAGCCATGAATGTGTGAAGTTTTTTGGAAGAGGGCCACAGTTGGAAACATACAGAGGTCCACAGGTTGGTTATATACAGTTTGATATGAAGATGCTTTCATCAAAGGTTTCATGTTCAACCCATGGACTAAGTTCAACCGTGCCATAATTTAGTCTGATGTGCCAGTGGTCAGTCTTTCCACATCTTCATACAATACAATAAAGATAATTTTTGGTTGACGAGGAAACCCTTAAATTTAGCATCAGGTCAGTTTTATGTTCTATTCTAAATTAACCAATTTACAACAGTTTTCAGTATAGTGTGGGCCAATTCATCTGGATGCCTGAAGCCAAGATAATGGCTTTCCCGGGCCAGTCCTGATAAAAGCCCATGTGTTCAGTTTTTTTTTTAATTATAGAAGTTTATTATAGAATCAACGACAGATTTGACTATTATGAAGAGGGATTACTGTCACTGCCCTAATTCAATTCCACAATCAGTGCCACACCAATAAAGTTTCACTGCTTCTTGAGCCAATTATTTCAAATGTGCTTCCAATATCAAAATATCAAATACAATTATAGGACATATTTTCAAAACAGAAATATAACTTTTTTTTGCAAATGTACTCTTCACTTACAGTTAAACAGGATTATTTAAATATTGTAAAAAAAGTGATTTATCTTGAAGAACCTAGTCTTTCGGGCTTGTGTCTGTAAACTAGAACATTCTTTCATGTTTGTGAGTCTCGAGCTCTCGCCTCGAGCTGTACGTAACTCACCGGTCAACGTCAAATGCTTCTTTCTAATGTCAGCAACAGGTGTCTGGAGCTTAAAGCAGCTCTCAAGCCACTCCACCTCTTTTGCCCAGCTTCATTCATGAATTTTGAAATGACAAATGTCGTGTTTAATATCCGTAAGGTAACCGGTTGGGTGAGTGGCAGCTTTAATCCTTTTCCCGTGACCCGGTGGTTCCTTGCAGTGTTATGAGCCTCACGTCTCTGAACTCAGCGCTCACGGAAATAATAATAATAATAATAATGATAATAAACATTCCGAAGTAGAAAGTGGGTAGTTGCAAAGTTTTCCGCGTCTGTAAGTTTGTCTAGAGTGGAGTTTGGATTCGGTTCACTCACCTTGGGACTCGGGAGGAGATGCGTCGCTGCCATCCAGGTCCGCCATTTCTCTGACGTCAGCTGAGAGGGATCAGCGCTGCACCCGTGGGACCTGTCGTGGGACCTGTCCGCGGCCACGGGACAGACACCCTCTACGGGCAGGTGGGCGGCTCGCACTAAACACACAGGTTTGGATAATCTTGTGGAGCGAAAGAAACGGCACACATTCAGGTCGACTGGAGAAACGACGTCCTAACCCATCTACGTCCATTCATTGTACTTGTAAACCTTACGTGTATTTCTTCATGTCTTAAACCTGTAGGTCACTTCTGTCTCTCAGAGGAGAGACATCATCTGAGTTTGAGAGCCATCTGCTGGTCGTGCGTCCACAGTGCGTCAACCGAGCAAAAGAATAAAATCACTCCGTAGAGTTGCATTCCAGGTGGTAACTTTGTAGCTAAGTAAATGACTAACATTTTGAATGTATTTATTTATTAACAGTTTATTCATTTCAACACAGTTGTTATTACATAAAAAAATACCATAACAAAATCAAAAAACAATTTTGTGTGTGTCTGTGGTCAGGCCAATGGGTTGCCTCGCTTCGGTCAGTGTGCCCCAGGGCAGCTATGGTGACAGTAATGGTTATTATTATTATCTTTATTATTATTATAAATATTATTATATATTGTTGCGACCCGGCAACGGATGAAGCGGAAGAAAATGAATGGATGGATATTGTTATGGCGATTCATAAGTTAAAATTGATATAATTTTTTTTTTTTTTTTAAACAATAAAACAAAACAAAAACAGTTTTGAAATATGCTTTGATTTCAAGGTTCTTATCCAGGGGGAGTGCATTCCATAACTGTGATGTCACCGACTCCACAGCTCGGTCACTCCGGGTTTTGTGTTTAGTCCATGGGGCAGTTAACAGTTGCAGATTGGCAGACCTGAAACTAACGTACACGTTCGTGCAGAACTGACAGAGATTAATTTACAAAGAAATGTACAAAAACCCTAGGCCTAGGGAATCCATTAAATGAGACTGAAGTGATCCTCTACAAACTGATTTACACTTAGGGCCTTGAATTGACGTTCACAATTTATATGCACCATACTAAAAAAGTAGAGGAGCCTCAAATAATAATACGTTACTTGCTAAAAATAAACTTGGCAATAAAGTGATGAAACTGCATTTAAATCAGATGGAAAGTATGTTTTATTTGTTGTTTTTCTAAGCAATGGATGTGAGAATTTTGGTCCAGAAACATACATTTTACAGAAGGGCTGCGCTTCTACCTGACTACCAGCAGAGGGAACTATTGTCGCGTTTTAAGGGCGCATGAAACATATTTTTAATACAATTGGTCAAAATCTCATTAGAATTCAACGCAACATTGATACTGAAATATTTATTGAATTTGGCTTCAAGAAAAAGCAGAAAATGTCTATGTCTAAGGCCAATTCTTTGTTTCTTTTTTTTTTCCATCAATGCTTTGTTGGTTTACTCTTGTTTCAGCTGCACCTGGAGAAAAACAATAACTACAAATACTTCTTGTTAAATAGAGCAACTAAAATGCAGAAAGCCTCACATCTTGCTTGTAACTGAGCGTCTGTAATTGGTGCAGCGCGGTAATAACCCACCCACTCTTTATTTGATGAGGGATTTACTGTTCCTGCCTAAATGAATGCTGATCTCACTCCCCATCCTTCCCATGTCCCCAGACTGCTCTGCTTCACCCCCTGCCTGTGGACCACCAGTATCACGGCTAGGCTGGTGGGAGAGCAGCTGCCATGGTAACCAGCTGTTTGGATGTGCTGGTGATGGAGGAGGAGGAGGTGATGTTATTGGCCTGTAGCTATAACTAAAGCTGGGTTAAGATAGACCAGCGGTGCTCTGTGTGGAGCAGTATAATTCTAGCCTGTGCCGAGCCGTAATGAACTTGTTTTTAATTGTTAAAATGTAGATACATGTGTTTACTTGTTTATTTATCTGGATCCCCATTAGCTGTCACCAAATGGACAGCTACTCTTCCTTAATAATATACAAACTAATTAATGCCACTTACACTATTACAGTATAGCAGGATGATGAGCAAAAGATATTTTTTAAATTGTCTTAGACAGTGGCTCAGTTGGTAGAGCATTGGCCTTAGGGCCTGAAGGTTGTGGGTTCGATCTCCCAATGAGACCTACTCCCACTCGTGTCCTTGGGAAAGACACTTATCCTCACGTTGCGTGTCACCACTGATGGAGCAGCAGCCCTCTTCCTGTGCAATGAGCATTGGATGGCAGCTCTGATTGCCTGACCCAGAAATGGACTATAAAAGAGCAAGGAAAAAAATACAAAAATAAATTGTCTTTATTATTAAAAAACATGCTTTGAATCAGAACTTTCGGCACCAAGCTTAGCAAGATTAGCTCCTGAATCTAGGACACTTTCTATACAGAAGAGTCAAGCAATACTGTCCCATTCAAAATTACAAATTAAACCATCTTGATTTTTTTCTTCAGTTTTAATTACAACAAATCACAAATCTGTCCACTATCGCAAATAAAACCTAGGTCTAATGGACAGAACTGGGTCATACTTGCTTCTTTTACAGAACACTGCGGAGCTGCTGAAAGCCTCAATCCCTCTTTAGACATTGCTGCCTCAAAATCACAGCCTTTTATAGTTTGTTATTGTCCTCCTCTGGGCTGTTTTCCTTTTGGAACTCAGGAAAAAGCCACAAAGAGCAGGAGCAGAGACAGGGGTCATACTGTGTCCACTGTTCTTGATCAAAGCCTTTTCCAAACTGTCTGTAATTGGTTCCCATAAGAGCAAGAACTCTTTAAAATTCACCCCGGGTAGCAGCCGAGCCTATAGGTTGCCTGATAAATCCATACCAAGAAAACAAATATGCAAAGCTCGTGCGGTCATGAGATGTTTGTGGACACCTGCGTTCTCACAGTCAGAAGGGTAATGGGAGTCACTCATTCCCAATTCAGTTTGTTGATTTGTTGGTGAAGAGTGCGTGGGTGATGATAGGGATGCACCTTTTTGAGGAAATAACTGAGCGTTTTTTTGGTCCGCCTTGACTGATTTGGATTAAATGTTGTGTGTTTGGGGATGCGCAGGAGGCAGATAGATTAAACAGGCCTGGGTTTACCAAAGCAGGATTGGTCATTCAGGGACACGCTGCTGAAAAGCCCCAGTCAGGCATCTTTGTCGGTAATAGAAGCAGCAGGGTCAGGAGCCACAGCAGCGTAAACACGGATGTGCAAACAAACATCATTTATTTCAAGATGGAGCTTTACTTTCGTTTTTTTTACATATGCTGTTTGTGTACATACATCATACTTAAACAGTCCAACCAGCTCTTGGAGTTACAGAATCTAATGAAATAACCTGATTGATGTGAACACTTTTGAACCGCTCATGGTATATGAGTCCGTTACCTTCTTCTAAGTTGTGTTTGTACATGTTTTGAAAGGATTGATTGATTTAATGTGGTTATTCATTTGCATAGGTCGAGCAACCGCGAGCCACACTGTACCACGTTGGTGCACAAATGCACAAAAAGAATATATCCTTTATGGTAGGAAAAGGAATAAAGCCGATTCTTCTAAACATTTGACTGGTGAACCTTTGAAAAACGGATGTAAAGTACGGACCAAAAGTTTGGACACACCTTCTCGTTCAAAGAGCTTTTTATTTTCATGATTATGAAAATTGTAGATTTACACTGAAGGCATCAAAACTACGAATTAACGTATGTGGAATTATGTACATGCTAAAAAAAAGGATGAAACAACTGAAAATATGTCTTGTATTCTAGGTTCCTCAAAGTACAGTGCCTTGCGAAAGTATTCGGCCCCCTTGAACCTTTCAACATTTCGCCACATTTCAGGCTTCAAACATAAAGATATAAAAATGTATTTTTTTGTCAAGAATCAACAACAAGTGGGACACAATCGTGAAGTGGAACGGAATTTATTGGATAATTTAAACTTTTTTAACAAATAAAAAACTGAAAAGTGGGGTGTGCAATATTATTCGGCCCCCTTGCGCTAATACTTTGTAGCGCCACCTTTTGCTGCAATTACAGCTGCAAGTCGCTTGGGGTATGTCTCTATCAGTTTTGCACATCGAGAGACTGGCATTCTTGCCCATTCTTCCTTGCAAAACAGCTCGAGCTCAGTGAGGTTGGATGGAGAGCGTTTGTGAACAGCAGTCTTCAGCTCTTTCCACAGATTCTTTTCCATAGAGGCCAGATTTGTGCAGTGCACGGCTGATTGTTGTCCTATGGACAGACTCTCCCACCTCAGCTGTAGTTATCTGCAGTTCATCCAGAGTGATCATGGGCCTCTTGGCTGCATCTCTGATCAGTCTTCTCCTTGTTTGAGATGAAAGTTTGGAGGGACGGCCGGGTCTTGGTAGATTTGCAGTGGTCTGATACTTCTTTCATTTCAATATAATTGCTTGCACAGTGCTCCTTGAGATGTTTAAAGCTTGGGAAATCTTTTTGTATCCAAATCCGGCTCCACAACAGTATCTCGGACCTGCCTGGTGTGTTCCTTTGTCTTCATGGTTCTCTCTGCGCTTTAAACAGAACCCTGAGACTATCAAAGAGCAGGTGCATTTATACGGAGACTTGATTACACACAGGTGCATTCTATTTATCATCATCAGTCATTTAGGACAACATTGGATCATTCAAAGATCCTCACTGACCTTCTAGAGTGAGTTTGCTGCACTGAAAGTAAAGGGGCCGAATAATATTGCATGCCCCACTTTTCAGTTTTTTATTTGTTAAAGTTTAAATTATCCAATACATTTTGTTCCACTTCACGATTGTGTCCCACTTGTTGTTGATTCATGACAAAAAATTAAAATTTTATATCTTTATGTTTGAAGCCTGAAATGTGGCGAAATGTTGAAAGGTTCAAGGGGGTATACTTTCGCAAGGCACTGTAGCACCTTCTGCTCTGATTACTGCTTCGCACAATCTTGGCATTCTCAAGCTTCAAGAGGTAGTGACTTCAAATGGTCTTCCAACAGTCTTGAAGGAGTTCCCAGA